CTATACAATTAATAAAATTATATATGAAGTAATCAAATAGTAATTAATTTTCTGTAGAGTTATTCTCACATCCAAAAATTATCTCATCATTTATCATACTTTATATGAACGCATGTCTGGGTGATTTGTCTACAATATATTTAAAATGTACTATTTCTATTATTATTTAAATTTCATATATTTATTTAAATATTAAATTTTGTGTCAAAATCTGTATATCCGTATGTAAAATTTACAATTGTCTTGCGATATTTGTTCCTAAGAAGACTTGGAAAATACAAATAAGTTTTAAAGTTTTCAAAATAATCAATGTAGGACTTTTTGGATTAAGGAACTAATTCATTTTTATTTTTGGTGTATTTGTTAAGTAATTTTTATCTTTTATAAGATATATTGCTATGGTTTTGGTATATATAGTTTTAAGACAAAAACAATCCGTTGTTTATTTGCCGAATATGCATACAAAATTTATGCACGTATACAAATGAAGCAAACAAAATAACTTTGAGCATAATAGTTTGATATAAGTCATCGAATCTTTGAATATTTATTCAAATTTATTTTGAGTGAGTTAGCTGCAAAAGTATGTTTCAATTGCAAACAAAAAATTCTGAAAATATTCAGATATAAAATATATTTAACTGATAAGGATAGATGCATTCCAAGTGGTGTATTCCATAGCTATTGGCGACCGACCCAATCCTGGCACATATACAGGATATAATGTTAGGTATATTCCAAGTGATATATTCTACTATCTTTGGGTTGGAAACCTTTAAGATATGATGTTAGATGTATTCCAACTGGTGCATTTCATTTATATTCGGCAAGAATCCAATAAGCTATTGGCGACAGACCCAATCGATGGTACATATATAGGATATAATGTTAGGGGGTTCCATTAATCACGTGAGAGTTTATGGGAAAGGGGGGTTTGACAAAATATCACAAAATATCAAGTGAGGGACGGAATGGTATGATAAAATATCACGTGCATTTATTCTGTAGCTGATGTTTTTAAAAAAATTCAAACATTTTCAAAAAAAATATATTTTAGATTTTTCACGTAACTAAAAATACACGTAATGTTTGGTGAGGGAGAGGGGGGGGGTAATTTTGATATCACTACGTATCACCAATGGGGAGGGTGGTACAAAAATCCTTAAAAACTCTCTCACGTGATTAATGGACGCCCCCTTAGATGTATTCCAAGTGGTGTATTCCATTATCTTTGGCTATAGTAAATACGTAGGAATGAAAAAGGAAAAGTGATTGGCGACGGACCTAATACTGGCACATATATAAGTTATGATATTAGGTGTATTCCAAGTGGTACATCTCACTAATATCGTATTACATAAGAATCTATAGTGATTCTATAGTAATTACATCTAATAAGCAATAGGCGACAGATCCAACACTGGCACATATATAAGATATGACGTTAGATGTATTCCAAATGGTGTATTCCACTAATATTGGCTGTAGTAATTAGTAATTATGCAAGAATCGAATGAGCTATTGGCGACAGACCCAATACTGGCACATGTATAAGATATAATGTTAGATGTATTCCAAATGGTGTATCCCACTAATATTGGCTGTGGTAATTAGTAATTATGCAAGAATCCAATGAGTTATTGGCGACATACCCAATACTGGCACATAGATAATATACAATGTGCTACCCATTTGGCTTTGAAAACATAATAGTAATGTAATAAGATATTATTAGAAACATACTTATGTGTACTTACGTGTCGTGCATAGCATGGTGCAGTGCACAAAGGCGTTATGGCAGTGCAATATTACGAGGTCACTAATCTTGCAGTGAGTGGAAGAGTCGCGTTCACGTGTGGGACAGTTTTACAGTAGAGTGGGTGTCATGTAAGGCCGAACGGCGGAAGGTGACACGCTGTTTGCTTTTATACTGAAATATATTACTTGCTAAGGCGTTTGTTATTGGCTGTTTTGTTCAAATATAAGTTATGAGGCTACAATGTGGATGCTACGGATTTTGCGATAGTTTACAACTTTGTCACAAACATCATGATTGTGATTGAACAAGTTATAAATTACTTCTTGCTATTCTTTTAAAAATTAGAGTATAAAATATTTTGTATAATGAAGAAAGATATATGTGTTTATATACGTGGATATATATATATATATATATTTAAATTGTCTTCTTTTTATCTATTACTCCAACTTCTACTCGTATTTGGTCTACGGCATTCAATTTTGGGGTTTTTCAGCATCCTTAAAACATGTTTTCAAACTTCAGAAGAGAGCGCTAAGAATCATGTTCTCTCTTAACTCGATGACAAGTTGTAGAAATATTTTTCAGAAGCATAATATTCTTACTGTTCCTAACCTATTCCTACTTATTACACTTCTCTTTATAAAAAAATAATCCTCAGTACTTTAATTTATCTTCCATGTTTAATTCCCACTATGTCACAAGAAATAGAACTATCAAAGGATCGACTTTTAAGCCTAATACTACTTTTAATTCAATTAATGGTTTTGGTATTCAACTGTTCAATTTATTACCTTTACAAATGCGTCAACTAAGCAATCATAAATTCCACAACGTTTTTATTAATTTACTAAAAGCCAACAGTTTTTATGACATTTCTGAATATATTAATTTTGACTTAAAAAAATACAGTGGTACCATCCCCTTCATATTATAAATATCTATTGTTACTAATTATATGTGATATCTTACAAATACAGCGATTTTTGGCTATAACTGAGTATTACTTAGCTGTGAAATAGTTTTCTTCGTCTGTGATACTGCTTTTTTTCAGAAAAGCTTCTAAACTTTTTAATAATTTCAGCAAATTAATGGATATATAGGACCTCAACTTTTGAAGATGCTCTAAACGAAGACGTAATATCAAGTTTGTTAAAATCAAGACATAAAATTGAATTAGTTTAGCACTCCTTTATTTGTATTTTATATTTGGTTGTTTTGTTATCTAATTGTAAAATTGTGAATTGTATATCTAATACATCTAATACATCTAATCTAATTAGCGATTTTTCTAAATCGCTTTTGAAAAAATGCTTAAATCCATCTTTACTTTAAAACGGCTTGATTTATATAAGCCCTTTGATGCTACAAGAAGTAGTTAATGAACAATGTCTCCAATGTGTACTAAAGCTGTGGCAAAACAACCTCATAAAACTCTAATAATTTTTGGCAATATATGTGTGTAATGACAAAAAATAAGGAAATACATGAGTACAATACTAGACAACAGAAAAATTTTCATCTAAAACAAACATGAACAAATAATACCCTGCGGAACACTATATGGAGTGTAAAGAAATTATTCTTTGAAAGAGCTTTGAAAGAAATTAAAATGACCAGTAAATAAAAGACCAATAAATTTGAAATTAAGTTAAAACAATATTACAAAGAAAATCTCGATACATACTATTCTGTTGTATAGATGTTTTGTATGATCTTTCATACCAGAAAATTCCGTCTGTCTGAGATGTATAAGATTAATAGATCCATTCGAATAAATTTAAAAAAAATGTGGTCATTATTGGCAATGGGGTAAATCACCATTATCATTTGCCAAGTTAGACAACACCTTTTCAACTTCATTAATTTTGTTAGTTGTTTAATTTAAGCATCAGTAATAATAGTTCATAATGAACAAATCCTTTTTAATCACCCAACAAATCCTTTTTAATCAACTCCAACTGGATGACCGAAGCGATATTCATCTTCAAGTGAAAGATCACTTGAACAAAATTCGGTAGACCAATTTTGATACTATGGATTGATGAAGCTTTGTCACCATAAACATCTCGTAACTTTTCGTGAATTTAAATTGTCTCTTAACTTTTGTAGAATTGAAAAAATCTGAAATTATAAACTATGACACAAAATTTCCTTTTGATTTTCCATCATTCGATGAATGCCAAATGAACACAAAAACTCTTTTTACTTATGGGCATCTAACCTACTTACTATCCAATAACAATGTATTTTGCATTTGGAGTACGTCAGAATACCTAAAAATTCAATTGAAACCACTTTAGCTGAAAAGCACTTTTATAAGTATTTATTAGTATACCGTGCTTACTTTTAACTTAACAGTTTCCTCCCTAATATAATAAAACAAATTCTATATCTATATAAGATAAACATTTAAAACCTTGTAATTTGTTATTTTGAAGTAGTATATAAATTAACCCTGAGCTTTTATTTATATTATATGATACAGATCATAAGAACTAAATGATTTTTGGTTGCTTATGGGTGGGGGTAAAAAAATCGAGTCAATGGATTTTTAATACAATATTATCTCTCAATCAGTATTGAGAGATAATAATTCATAAATCACCAACTATGAATTTTTTATATATGAATTAAAGATTTATCTTGCTGTATATATATCCTGATCGACCATAGCAGCAGATGATACTTGGCTCCTCACTGATTTTTCTTCCGAGCGAATAAATCTTTTGTTTTGTTATGTGGTTTTTTTTGGAAAAATTTTCTTTCCTCCTTTTTTATTAAATTGTAACCACACAATTGTATCACACCTTTTATATTTAAAACACTTGTTATTGGATTGATAGAACAGATATGAGGGATGATATACCTATTATATGGGTAGAAATCCGAACGAAATTGGATGTGTTATGTACACATTTATAATTATTGATTTATATATTTTGAATTAAATTAAAAATTCTTGCTGTGTAATTGTCCTCTTCCATAATCAATCCGTAAAAAATAGTATCAATTAAGAATAGTACACAATTGAAATCTGCATCTAAAATCTTTTCAATCATCCTTCCAGACTATTATTTTAATATTTAAATCAAATATAAAAGTAATCAAGTAAATCAAATCAAATAAATATCAAGAATAATAAAATAATGAAGATGTTGAAAATGATAATATGAAGTTTATTTTTCTATCCTTTAGGTTTATTATTTCTTTGAGAAATTAATTCTATTTGATTGTCCAGGTTGGCCGCTGCACAGGAGGCTGCCTTAGCCGGGGGCCAGGGCGCAGCCGGTGCGGGCGCAGCTGATAGAATGGGGGGACACCAGCATCACCAGGGGGGCGCGGCCGCGAGAGGGGGGCCCAGCTCCCTCTTCTTGCTGTCCGAGGAGAACCCTATACGAAGGTAAATGATCTATATCAATTTAAAGAATTTAGAAAAAACAGCTTTATAAAGCAAATTTACAATGTGGATGTAGGTATTTGCAGCAAGTTAAAAGCAGCGTTTCAATAATTAAATCTAGATTTGAATAAATCTATTAAAAATAGAGTACAAGATGATTTTTAATTAAAATTAACGTCTAATTTATGAACATTTGCATAAAACGAGTTGGCGAAAATTATGATCGTAATATTACTGTAAATTATAATACTAATTCTTTCTTTTTGCAAAGTTTGGGATATTGTTTTTTGCACTCCTCTATACTCTTTCTAGCCACATATTTTATTTTCCATCGCGAATAAAATATTTTGTATTAAATTTTCGTACAATTGCAAGGTAATATTTTAAATAATCTAAATAAGATAGTCGATAGATACAAAGTCTTTTAATAAAAAATATTGCTAATGTGCAAAGCTGTATTATTAACTGAGTATAATGAGTAGAATGAGTAGAATTTGGTTAATTTGCATTTTTTACTAGTTCGTATCCGATATTTAAGTTTTAATTGTTTGATAAATCAAACCTTTGCTTGAAGTTTCATTGAAGTTCTTACTGCCCATGTTAGGAAAGGTTCTTATTATTTACGATTAAGGATTAAAACGGTAGATTAGATATCAGAATTCACTGGATTGGGATTTAAAACTGAAAGGCAGTTCATACTTTAGACAAAGATTTCCATATAAGTAATATCAACCCAAATATATATAGAAATTTATAATAAGTAAGCATATTGCACAGTTACAATTACTCCTGCGATGTTTAAGCTTATAAATGTGTTATCCACGATGAATGCATCCTTTTAAAATACATAATACTGATATTTATTATATAAATAAATTTATAAATTCTAACCATTCCAATTAGGATTGAACTCATAATTATTTTTATTGAATATATAAACAATCAGAACCTTGAAGTTCTATGAGGTTATCCTCTAACTGTAAATGTGCTTTAGTTCAATTTCTTCAGTAAGAAATCTCGTGTTATTTGTACTGTTATCTTGTAAATTTTGGCCAAATCATTGACCATTGCTTCGTTAATACAAAAAGTAGATTAATGACACTTACACGCAGTTTTAAAATATATTAAGATTTATTGCTGCACAAGATAATGCTATGTTATTGGTTTAACAATAAGTGGGGGTGGTGCTTTACATTCGAAAATTTATGAGGCTCATATCATAGTCGAGCTTTATAATAAAGCTGATAAATAAATTTAATGAAAAGTATACTAAATATTTATACTAGAGATGGGTAACTCACTCCGGAGTTATCACTTCGATACAAGATTTGGGTCGAAAGGAGTGGTCTTTTTCTCGTCTCACAGCCCGTTTTAGGACTTTCCAGGTATATAATGTCACAAAATAATGCTATTTTATATTTTCATTTTGTATTTTCATGTTGAAATGCATAAAATAATAATTATAATGAAATAATAAAATAAGTATTATAAAGAAATTAACAAAAGTGTTTGAACTATTTGTAAACTATGTCCAAAGTCTTAAATGCTTAGATATGTTAACAACACACTAGAGAATACATATGTGTCAAGTATTATGTTTCAAAGTTGTCGGAGATGTGGAGTTGTTAAGTGGTTATAACTCCTCTCTGAAGCGGAGTCAAATTCTAACAAATCCGGCTTTGGATATAATAAAAGTCTATCTCTAATTTATACCCTGGAATTAAATATTAGTACTATAAGATCTAATATTTAAGATCTTGCTTTATATCTGAATAGTGAATAATATTTTTATACCAAATCTGTATTTTTTATAAAAATCATTTCAGTAATTAATTCGTAGTTTCTAGTAACCCCTTCGAGGTATTTTAATATACTCCTATTTCCAAATTATGTATATATATAAATTTCAAAACGTATTCCGAATTCCCGCATTGTCGAATACTTTGGCATTTCTGGCGTTCCGTCGCCTGCGCTCATACTACATATACTCGTTCTACTGGGAATGGCGATGCAAAAGCTCTTGGGGAGATTTTGAGCTTTCAACATCGCGCGCTTTATGGAACTAATCGCGCGATAAATTCGTGATCTGATTTGCAAATATGATGAGCCCGTATGAACTGTGATAGATGATAATTTTTGATTATTTTGTAATAATTTGCATTTTTAATATCAATTCGGTGTAAATGCTCAAGATTGTAGTTGTTTGTTTGTCATAGTTAGATTTGTAGTTGTTTGTCAAAATTGTTATAGATCAACAAGTGAACAATGTATTTTCACTTGGATTTATTCATCAGCAGAGTTGGAATAACTATTTATTTAACGAATATCTTGTAGAATAGCTTTTCTTGAAATAATATACTTTTATAGTTATTATTTTGTATTTTACACAAATTTGCCATGGTAAAGGCTCAAATGGTCTTTTTTACCCCACCCATATTTAGGCTTTTATAGGAAAAATATAAATTAAACTGTTGTATTTAACTCATCTTATAAAACATTTAAATAATGTAGATATAACTATTATGTTAATGTCTCGTGTACTATACAAGAGCTCCCAACCTAAAAAAACTGACGACAGAAAACACTTATTATGGATTTTCAATCATTGCTATTTATCTCGCGATAATGACATCGTAAGAATCAAGATGATGGTTGGTTATAAATGTTTTTTCCCCTACTTTCAAACATTCTTGTTAAAAAATCCTAACTTTACTTGGTTTTGAGATATCGGTGGACTTTTATACCCAGAGACCTTTTGGCCCCGATCTAGCCTCTAGCATGAATTAGGATCAGAGTTTACTGATCTTAACATATATTTAGATGTATACAGTTTCAATCTGGGATCAAAATTTAGATGTTGTTTTTAACGTCATAATTTAGTTCCTTAAGATTTATTTAAACTATTTGTTAATTAGTACCAATTCAAACTAAGTTCTTGGGATTTCTATACTTTTCTCTAATTATCAATTGCCTAGGGTAATATATAATTTCTATAGATTACTGAAAAAGATTCTAGATTCATATAAAAATCTATATTATAAATTCTTATATTTCTGCTAGATCTTTTATAGATTTTGTAGTTGTTGATTTATATAGATTATCGATTATCGATTATTACATTATTTTATGTATTAGAAATTATAGTTTTTTATAATTTAATTAAAATATGAAGTTATAATTGTGTTCAACTCATGATTTCTATTAAAATACCCTTGAAGAAATGATATTTCTCAAAGCATATTACGAGCATTTCTTTAATTCATACCTTATTCACTACAATATCGCTGTTTTATTCCAATATAACTAAAAAATTGTAGATTTTCAAGCAAAAGCCAACAGAAAACGATATTTTTGAATCATAGTCGCGATAATAGGTTAATCTTAAAAAAAAGTGAAACTAACAGATTTCAATCCCCCAAATCGGAAAGCTAAAAGCTTTCAATTCAACCAAAATTGGTGGGAATTAATATTACTATATGATTTTACAAACTAAAAAAAATGTAGATTTTGAATGGAAAAAGTAAATATAAATTTAAAACTGTAGCATGTCAATCTACCCTCTTGCTACCTTCTACTATATTCAAAGGCTAAATTTTCATGCGCATACAGAAAAGCTTTTACTATTTTGTTACAGTCAAGAGAAGACTCAGAATAAGCAACTCTAATTTGTATTCATTGACAGAAACTACTCATTAAAGAAGCAAATAAAGTAAATTTAAAAAAATGCAATATAATGTAAAAACATTACCATTAAATAAAAAAAAAATGTATCCACGGATTGATAATGTCTCCATGCTATACAAGCCTTGTATCAAGTTGTGTATTTTGTTGAAAAATTTATATTTTTTCTCTATATATATTTTAATTCTGACTTTGTTATTATTATTTCTAGGTATACGCGGTTCATAATCGAATGGCCGCCGTTCGAGTACGCGGTGCTAATGACAATCATCGCCAACTGCTTCGTACTCGCGCTGGAGGAGCATCTGCCGTACTCGGACAAGACAGTACTCGCACAGAAACTGGTAAATTTCTAACACCACTCTTACTAATACATTATTTATTTATACAATAATTGCAAAAAGTACGATCGATTATCCCAAAAGTTTTTTGAAACTATTAAATTTCAAATTTTGAAAAAAATCAAAGCGTTTTTTATGAATGATATAATTAATAAAGGGTGGTAAAGCTTTTTGTGTGAATGATATAATTAATAAAGAGTGGTACTGCCCTAGGGCAGGATCGATATCATTAATAATTAATAAAATGAATAAAGCGAGTATAAATCCGTTGTATATGTTAACTATTTTATTTTGTAGAGCTTTGAACAAAGAATCCAAAAAGTAATAACAAACAAAAAAGTTTAAAAAAACGTTTCTTTTTTATTTACTGTCCACGTTTGGGAACTAGGTACGTTTCATCTTCAGGACATCTGTCAAGGAACATGATCTTGATAAGATTTAAGCAAACAATATGTTTAATAAAAGCAGAAGATGGTGGATTTATTTTATAAAATGAATAAAATTTTGGAAAAAATGTACAGAAGTATGACAATTTAAACTAAATGATAATGATAGTAGTTAATTATTTTGATATAAACACAACGTGCTTCAAATGAATATATAAATGGTTTTAATTTGCTGAGCTAAAATCTTCCTTTTAATTTTCAAAAAATATTGATTTCATTTTAAATCACTTTATCCTACGGTTTGGGGATATGGGATTTTCTCTTCTTCAGGAACTATTGATAATTAACAAACAAAAATAAATATATTTTATTTATTATATATTTATACATTTTTTAATCAACTCAAAATGAATTTATTTTCTGCCTTTGTGAATAAATTTATTATACCTTCACAAAAAATTATTTTTGAAAATATAACAAGAAAAACACATGCTTAAATAACACAATGTTCCATTATTTTTTGTCATTTTAAAAACATATATTTCAATAAATATAAATATGTATATAACTTTGTTAGAATATTTACCCGTAGTTTACCCATTATTGTATCTGATTTTGTAAACGTAAAATAATAAGTTCTAAATGAATATAAAAATTATGTCATAATTGTGACAAAAAAGGAGAAAAGGAAGATCACAATTCTCAAACTTTTTTAGTTTTGTATATTATCTACACGAAATTACTTTAATGGATCTGCTACCCTTTATTTTTTATTATTCAAACTATAAATCACACAGTGTTACTTGATGTTGATAGCCAGCTGTAGCAATAACTCTAATTAAAAAACATGGAATTTCAAAGCGTTACTTAATATAAGTCGTTAATTAAAAATTTCTGTACAAAACAAATTTAAAGCTTTGAATTTTATTTACTCATAAGCACGTGATTCACATAACCTATATTAATTGTATCAATTTTATTTTTAATCTTGGGAAAAGAATTTGATATGAATATTTATTTAATACAATTTTAATAGTCATATTCTTATAAATGTTATTAAATTAGCAGTTCGCTATATGAATATATATTTTTATATGAAATGAAGCTAATCTTTGTATGCAATGGTTCTTGAACTGTGTAACAAAATTTTTACTAGATTGCATTGTATTTCCATTTTCAAACATAAACTCAAATAACTTCGGAACAACTGTCGTTTTTTATCATACTTGCTTTTACAATTTGTTTCATAACGTAATATTTTAATATCAACAAAAATTATTATAGGTAAATTAATTCAATTTTGCTACAAAATTATGAATGACATTGGATAAATTTTATAAGTACCAATTATTATAAAATCTAAATCTTAAGTGTTAAACGGAATAAAAAGTCTTAGTGATTTTTATGGTATATGGTAGTATATTGTTTTAAAAATATATTTCCATGTATAACATTGTTAAGAAATGTATATAATGGTGCTGAACATAGTAACTTATTTAAAAATATCTAATTATTATTTTAATTTAATTTAATAAAAATAATTCAATTTAATAAATAATTATAATCTGTAATAATCCAATGTCAGATATATAAGAATTGGTTATCACTTTCATTAAAAAATGTGGTGACAAAAATGTATTTATTATATTATATTTTTGATAATAATGAAGATTAAAATACTGCACAGGACTTGCATAATATTTTTACAAAGAAAAGTTCGACTAGTCATATAATTATCAATATTTTAATGGATGAGCATGTTGGAGCATGATAAATAGATGAATTATATTATATTTCTTATAATCAAATAATATTTTATTTAAACATTCTTTTATTATACTTGATATTGATTAACATAATTTATAAAGTAAGCTTAGATATCTTTTTTGCCTTTAATTTCTAAAAAAATGACCTTAATTTACTTGGTATAACGTTAGTGTCAATTGGAATTGTAATATTGAGAAATCATAATATTTGATATTTTAAACTATTTAAAGTAACTGAAATTTTGAAAAACCATTTGTATCGGAAAACTATAAAAATGTCATAATTAAATATCTATTGCTATTAATATTTTTTCTTATTTTCAGGAAAAGACAGAAGTATACTTTTTAGGAATTTTCTTCGTAGAAGCATCTTTGAAAATATTAGCGTTAGGTTTTGTTTTACACAAGGGTTCATATCTTAGAAACATTTGGAACATTATGGATTTCTTCGTTGTAGTAACAGGGTAAGTTTACTTTTGCATTATTCTGTAGCAATTCTATTTTTAATCATCATATGAAAATGAAATATTCATAGCAAAATGTTGTAAAGTGAGGGTGAATGTTGAATGAATTGTTAAACTTATGCTTCTTTTTGAAACAGAAATAGGTTATGGCTTAAGTAAGAAAAATTGTGTTCAATATGGAAATTTTCGAATTTCCTTGCTCCCAAGGGCTCAAATGGTTCCAGATTGATAAAAAACAATTCTCTGAAAGTTTTAGCTCTTAATATTGTCTTTTAGATAGAGCGCAATTCAATCAATGTTTTGTATGGAAATTTTGTAAGGCGTGGTCCCATTCAGTTCATATTGTTGTTGTTTGGCATAAGGAAAAGTACATGTTTGTTTGATTTTTTGTGCAATTTTGGCGTCAATGAATATAATAATTTTCTAAATTCTTTTATGGGTGAAGAATGAATGTGATCACCATGTAATATGTGAAATGCTATGTAGACGGTATATAATTCTGGTGATTAGATCGATGACAATATTTTTCGAGAGCAACGTCGAAGTGGACCTGAGGATGCTGAGATCTTTCCGTGTGCTGCGCCCCCTCAAATTAGTTTCCCGCATACCAAGTAAGATTGTGCGATCCTTATTAATAACATATACATTGTTCTCTGTAGTGGATTCTCCTAAACTATATTCATATGCTGAGGAATAGCTGACTTATTCAATTAGCGGAGACTTCGTAGTAGCTGTAAATTGTAGGACTTTCGTCAGCAGGAAGATGCTCCTTTTAGACTAACTTGATAATTATGAATCTCTTTAGTTGATATTAACTTAGGTAAATTGGCTGGCCCAACTGATAGTGAATATTGTACACTTGAAGATAAAGTTGAACATACATTTTAGCTTCATGTTCAATTTAGATATCTAGAATTATTTAACATAGTTTTCTAGTGGATAACATAATATTTTTATAGTATTTCTTATATAAACGTATGTTTTATAATGTAGAATAAAATATTATAAATTTAGGGGTCGATTCTGTCGTAAAATGGACCAATGTTATGGCAAGGCTATGTTACGTAGCGATTTGCATATAAAGTGGTACTGAAAACTGTCAAAATGCTATGTATTTGTTGTGCAGTTAGGTGTTTTACACATTAAATCTAAATTTACTCATTTGTTATTATGCCACATCACAAAGATGCTCTTATGATAAAATTATTTGTTTGACGTTTGTGCGTTTTCTAAGTTTGATTTTCTATCTAAAACAACTGACTGCACAGCAACCACATAGCATTTTGACAGTATTTAGTAGGATTTTGTATGAGATTTGAACATGGCATTACCATAATATTGGTCGAGTTTACGCCAGAATTGGCTCATTAGTGCCAATAATAATAATTTCTTCTAGATCAGCTCAATATTAATAATTTATTGCTGTAAATATTAGATGTAGTGTATTTATATATCATACATAATACAAACTCGCGCAACGACGATTTTAGTTATTAAATTTAACAAAAATATATCCGTGGTGAACCATTAATAATTCGTCTACCCTACCCATAAACATACAAATGTGTTTTTTTAATGTAAGTAATCAGTAATTTTTGATTGATTTCTTTACATAATTTTATTGTAAAAACAGTCCCTGGTGCTATTGTGCACAAAAGACATAGCAAATGCTTTCGTAGACTTCGCCACATCATGTAAAATCATGTCGGTCATTAATCGGATTCTACTGAATTATTAAATAATTTCAGTTTCATAATATTGTAGGTTAATAATAAATATGAGTATTGAATTAATTTGCACAGAATCTATATAAAATATTTTGTTCTTCACGTATATTTATCGCAAGTTTTGACTTATTTCAAATGCGTAAGAATGTATTGCATTCAATGCTTGCGAATATCTTATCTTTCTTGAAATATTCCAATGATTATTTCAAAAATTTTAAATTTCAGTGAGTATGATAGATGCTATAGATACTATTAAGAGTATACTTTCGCGCGCATTCAAAAATAGGTTCATGGTGTGAACCACAATTTTTATAATTGTTCTTTCTTTTATTTTTAAACTTTATTACTGTACTTTTAAAATTTCTGGTTTTGCATTTTATGTCCTGTGCCTTGGCTTTCAATTCACTCAATTCATCACCCCAATATATGTGAGCAACATCACAAAGATATTACATAATATACACATCAGATATAATTTACGATTTAGTATAAACATATTATATCTACTAATCTATTGACATCAAATTTTATTTGCAGATATATATTATTAGGTAAAAATTGTCCATAGAAATTTTAGTTTACATAAAAATAATACTATGTAGTGCTTTAGTTCATAGGATCATATTAACATATTATGTATTTATTCCCGAATATTTATTATAAATATAATGTAGTTGTATATGTAGAATAATTAGAAGTCGATATCGAGTAGTGGCCGTTTCTGTAGCGTAGACGCGCTTGTTTTTGACCCGCAGGTTCGTCACGCAGTTCGTGGACACTCACGAAAAAGTCGATCTGCGGACGTTGCGGGCCATCCGGGTGCTTCGGCCACTGAAACTCGTGTCCGGTATACCGAGTGAGTACAATTAGACAATTGAATAGTTTTTGTGTAATTGAAAATAACGTAAGTAAAAATTAATTATATTTTATTAGGAATATAATAAAATATTTCACGAATTCAGACAAAAAAGTTAATGAAGGTTTTTAAAGTATACGTTTAATATATTAATAACTTATGTGCATACCTTACGTGTATATTGTATCCTTTTGGCAATATTTCTCGCACAAGGCATATCGACCATATTTTTAATCCTCTTTGAGTATTTTAATACTATTAACTAGGAGTGATTTAAAACTTGATCGTATTTCAATTTTTGTGAAGCTGATGTATCTCACTTTTCTTAATATTCCTCTCAATATCTTATATTTTATCACGTTTTCAGTAAAAATTATTTTAAATCTTCTTACTTTATATTCTAATTTACCAAACTTGTGAAAAATAAAAGTAATTAAACTAATATTTTCTACAATAAATTCATTTGATTGATAATTAAAAATAACTAAACAAATGTTCAAATTATAAAATTTTTCTTTGGTATTAGATATGTAAATTTGTTTTCATATTTCTTATCAATTATTAAAAATAAAATAGTTACGTCTTAGAGCATCAAGTTCAATGACATAATATGTAGTTGGACTTGATGCTTTGAAAATATTAAAACCAAAAAAAAAGATTATGTTTTTGATTAGACATTATTTTAAAAAAATAACTGTATATTCTTCATAGATAATATCTATGCAGAATATACATATTTATATCTATATTTATATGCTTATATTTACTATTTTTATGTATAAATATATTTATTATTTTTATGTATATTTATATTTATTATTTTTATGTATATTTATATTAATTATTTATTTTTATATATATACATATATATATTTATATTTAATATTTTTATGTATACTTATATTTATATTTATATTTATATTTATATTTATATTTATATTTATATTTATATTCATTATTTTTATGTACATTTATGTTTATTATATATATATATATATATATATATATATATATATTTATATTTAATATTTTTTGTATACTTATATTTATATTTATATTTATAATTATTATTTTTATGTACATTTATGTTTTTTATTTTTATGTATATTTATATTTATTATTTTCATTTATATATAATATACAATTCTTTTTTTTAAATAACGTCTAATCAAAAATATGATCTTTTTTGTTTCTAATATTTTGTGCACACGTGTACTATTAAAATCACATTTGATTAATTACTGTTTCAATCGATCTTTTATACCGATTATTAAGAAATTATTTATGACTTAAATTTAGAGTTTTGAATATATAAGGTTTGTTTTGAGATATATAAACGTGGTTACAACTTTTTCTAATCTCGCGCCTTGAAAATATAATTTTAAAAGTAACAACTTATCTAAATATTTGCGACGCAAATGAATACTAGTCTGTTTCTACAGATTACTCAATTCATAACAAAATGAAAATATTGTACAAGTGTAACATTTTAGAGTTAATTTTTAAACGGTGATCAAAAAGCACCGAGAAAATTAGTACAGTCACAAATGTATTGGAGACTTTAAATTGGATCTCTTTATACTTTTGATTATTTATGTTTTAATAAAAATCTGTCTTATAATTAGAAGACATTCAGTAATCAATCTCAGACTTTACAAAGCTATAATTTACTACCCATTGGAAAATCACTCATTGGTTATTTCTAATTTATGAAAATGTGTACTAAGTTTGATGTAAATGGAACTAAACTGATATTTTATAATAGCATACAGTTTTTATACATAGCTAGAACAAAATCTGCCATCAAAGCTATAAATAGTGAATTTAAATAAAAATCTAGTTTTTATTTACTTGCTCTATCAAAAAATAGATACAGCCAATTTGTAATACACTGATGTCATTAAAAGTTTGGAGTATAATATTCATCTAACATTAGATAATACTACTTGTTTTAATTATAGATTAGAAATTTAGTTATAGAATTAGATAAATTAATGAATGAACTACTATATAGTGTAGTTAACATAGTAGACTTAATGTGATTCTCTTTATCTCACAAAAAGTTAGAATATCTTATTGATACCTATCTCCCAACATCTAGGTCTCCAGGTGGTGTTGAAGTCCATTATTAAGGCAATGGCCCCTCTGCTGCAGATCGGATTGCTTGTGTTATTCGCTATTGTTATTTTCGCCATTATCGGCCTTGAGTTTTACTCGGGCGCGTTGCACAAGAGCTGTTACAGCATATCCGATATCAGTAAGTCTTAAAATATATAAATAAATTATTAAATAATATATATATATATATATATATATATAATCTTATTATCCATTTTTGGGAGGGTAGATTTTGCAGGAAATCTGATAGGTTTACGAATTTGGTAACACATTATATGATGAGAGGCATAGAAAAGTGGTTTAATAATAAAAATTTATCAGATTTTAGTACAATGGACTGAGTCAAATTTAAAAAGTCCTTCGTAACAATTAGCTGGTAAATTTTACCTCCCATTGATCAAGCCAGGAAGTTTATGCAAAATGCTGTTAACACGTATTTTCGTATGAAATCCGCATTATAAGCAGTTTACTAAAATATCTTAGCCCATGGCAAAGCTTTCATTGCATCATTATTTTTAACCGAAGGAGAAGTTTGTTTTCATAAAAAAATCAGGTTAAAATAACTACCTAAGTTAAAATCAGGCTAATTTTAATGAGACCAAAATTGGAATAAGTATGTACTCGTATGTGTGAAATATTTTATATAGTTAAAGTCGTAATAAATATTACTATAAAAGAAATAATATCTATAAAAAGAATTTGCCATTCTTATACGATAACCCCTACATCATAAGTTTCTTTGTATACGTGTACTTGTATAGGCTTACATAGGCATAAACATTACATTCAATATTGTTATAACTTATAACTAACTATATGGCACGCTTTACTTCCATCACACCCTTTATACCTCAGACGCTTAATATTATTATCCTATACCTATAATTTTTCTTGAATGCTAACTTTTCCATCCCTACCGAGGATCAAATCAGGGCCTTTTGCTTGATAGTCAGCTAATTAAACCACTGGACCACCGTGGCGCTACGATCAGTCGTCTTTTTACGTGTATCGTCGCGTCTCCTTAATACTAGTTACCTAATTAAATAGTAAAGAAACCGCGTAATAAATAATATAATATGTTTTGTATAGTATCATATAGTTGGGGAACCAATAGAGTAATGATTTAGTTGTGTGGCTACCACAAGGAAGCCCCGGGTTCAATCCCCGGTATAGATAATAAATAAGTAGAGATAATAGTAGAGATATTATATATAATAATAGTAATAAAGATAACAGAATATAGGGCGTAATGTAAAAATATGTAATATAAATAGTAGAATGTAAGGTTTATCATGAGTAAAAAAATATTTATAGGGTGTACATTATATAGTTAAATAGAAAGTTTATAAGCAAATAATAATAATAAAGTGATACTATATTTATAAGTATCTATAGATATTTATAGGAATTGATGCTATACGTATCTTACGGTATGATAGGTGGTAATAGTTAGGTTTAAGTTATTATTAATTAGCAAACTGAATCCAAGAAAGATCACCAAAGGAACCTATATGTTATCGTGATAATAATCTATTCCCTTTTTTAGCTAAAATAATAAAGGACGGCGAAACGGAAACTCCGTGCCATCCTGAGAACGACGACAGACTGAGGCCGTCCGGAGCGCACGCCTGCCAGAACGATTCCACGTGCATAGAGCAATGGACGGGGCCAAATTTCGGGATCACGTCTTTCGATAACATCGGTTTCGCCATGCTGACGGTCTTCCAATGCATCACCATGGAGGGCTGGACGAACATACTGTACTGGGTAAGTTTATTATACATTGAGAGTTATTGTTTTTAAATGTATGTACAATATGAAAAGTCAAAATTCAGCGAAAAAAATCACTGGCGATAGATGCGGTAAATTTTGTTTTGTTATGTTTATTTAGAGTAGAGTAGAGTAGAGTTTTCAAGTGCACACGACTTTAATATGACGAATTTGGAATACTCATTAAGACTTATTTGAATGATTTAACCCTTTCGACTCGGATGCCGCCGCTTCGGCGGCATAGTCATTTTACCGTTGCGCTCGGATGCCGCCGCTCCGGCGGCATGATATGTTTTACCGTTAAGCTCGGATGCCGCCGCTCCGGCGGCAAATCGTGTCGGCGACGACTCGTCGCAAACTAAACTTACATTCAATTTTTTTTTATTTTTTAAAAATTAATTTACTATTACATTCATTTATTGATTGATTTATTAATTTTATAAATAAATATATAACAAAATTAATTTATTAGCTCATGATCCCCATAATTCTAATAAAGATCTGTTAAGAAATGATTTTTTAAACAATATAGCATGGTTTTGAGTGCATTTTTTTTTAATTTTCAAAATTTTCTATTTTATTATCATAATAACTATATTTAAAAGCAATATAACCATTTTTGAAAAAATCCGATACAAACAAAAATTCCGAGTTGAGAGATAAGTATATCACTATAATATTCCGAGCGCAGTGTACCGACTGGCAGTCCGACTCCCGAGTCGAAAGTGTTAATCTTCAAATTTTCTAGATTAAGGGGCCAATTTTGCGGCAAAAAAGACCAATGTTGAAGCAAGGCTTTGTTATGTAGCCGATTAAACACAAAATCGAATGCAACTTCATTCATATATTATTATGCCACATTGCAATGATGCAGTTACGATAACATTGTTTTTGGTCATTTGTGCGTTTTCCAGGTTCGGTTTTCTATTAAAAATGCCTGACTGCACAGCAACTATATGGCTATTGACAGTATTTTGTACCATTTTGCATTAAATGCGCTACGTAACATAGCTTGCCATAACATTGGTCTATTTTACAGCAAAATCGGCCTACAAGTAATCATTTTTTAAATGTATACCTCTAATTTCCCACATCCAACTGTTGATGAGTAAAAGTTGAAATGTTAAAAATCGTTTACAACCATAATATACAACCATTTTTTAGCAGATATTTCAGACTCAGACATTTTGCATACTTAGTTTGGTTTTGGTTACTCTATAATGTCAGTACGAAGTTCAATTAAAGAACTTTGTCAAGCATTTTAAGAAAAAACATCTTATAATAGAGATATTTTTTTTGGAAAAAACTTACGAAATGCAAAGATATTGAATTTGCTCCATTCAGATGCATCAGGTGCATCATAAAACTCAAATAGCATTACTTCAAGAACAAGAATGTAATTTTTAAAATATAACCAAACACAAAGATTTTTTATGAAGAAGATATAGTTTTGAAAATTCACAACAAAAGCAACAATGTATTATATAACATTTTCTAAATTAAAGTAATGAATTAAGATTTTTTTTAATTCAGTTTTTTTTTTTAATTTTTAATATTTTAATAAATGTTGTTTAAAATTATTTTATAGATATCATATCTGATTCTTGACAAATTATTTAAATCATTTTCCTTTTTCTAGACGAACGATGCCTTAGGTAGTAATGCGAATTGGCTATACTTCGTACCGCTCATCGTACTGGGATCATTTTTTATGCTCAATCTAGTTCTCGGTGTGTTGAGCGGGTAAGTACATATTTTTAATTTTAAAATAGTTTAAGAAAACATAATAAATTATAGATTTATCAATATCTTAATTGTGAGAAATATATTAATATTTCAAAATAAATTTTTATCAGTTATTTCTAAACCTTGCAATAAGGACTTCTTGGAGTATAAATTTAGACCAATAATATTATACTACAAATATCTAGTTATTTGTCTTACACTTTTTTCAATGACATTTTGTAGTGAATTTGCAAAAGAAAGAGAAAAAGTAGAGAACCGACAAGAATTTTTAAAATTACGAAGGCAACAGCAATTAGAACGAGAACTCAACGGCTACGTGGAGTGGATATGCAAAGCGGGTGAGTGATTTTTACTAGTGTTTTCAAGAGCTATCAGCATAAATAAACCATGTTTTTATTATATGAAGAATTGAATTTGTAGTATTTGTTATTGAAGCACTGCTCTGATTAATAAATTTATTTCATGTCATGATTTTAGCCACAGAACCGTATTCTGCAATCGATATCTAAGACATTCTGTTAAAATTATTGGGCAGAAGGAAAACAGAAAATTGCGTCGAACACCTAGTTTTCGATTTTAGTTCCAATATTTGAAGCAATTCTTAGTCTCTCTTAGATCTCTTATGTCCAGTATTGATACCGGATTTAATCCCAAAGTTCATCATAATCCTTTCAAAGAAACATGTAACATAATTGTTTAAAGTTACAATACCAATTTTTTTTAATCACAAACTTTTTGAATGAACACTTGATACAAGTTCACTACTGTTTTACTCTAGTCTCTATTATTATACTATTCTACTTTTAAACAATTCATTTCATGGATTATAACTAATAAATAAGATCATGTTCAAATTTGAAGTTATTGTCAAAATATTATTAATTTTCAGAGGAAGTAATATTAGCTGAAGAACGTACTACATCAGAAGAAAAAATACACATAATGGAATGTAAGTTTTATTTTTGAGATCTTTTTTAATTATTTAGTTCTAAAGTTTACTGATATAAAATAGTTTATATAAAAATATCAATTTAATAATATATTTGGGTCATTCTTGACCACAGATTTTTTTTTATAGATATACATAAAATCATTTGACACGTATTTTAGGATTTTTCCGGCAAAAATTTTTTCGTTGATATTTACGATTGAAATATTGCTGATTTCTCAAATTTTATGAACTACCACTAAAATATATTCTGTCTATTAATGATTTTTTTTATAAATTCAGCTCGAAGAAGAACTGCAGCCAAAAGAAAAAAAAAGAAAAACTAGGGAAAAGTAAAAGCACAGACACTGAAGAAGAAGAACCTGAAGATGAAAGCGCTGAAGGTGATGACGGTAAGAACGATTGACATTTTATTGTAACTATTTTCTTTTTTTTCTTCTTAAAATAAATATATGCAAGGAATAGCTTTAAAGGAGTTACATTAATTACTATTGCTAAACTTTTGTCAAAGTTTTACATAATCTCTTATTTGAATTAATAGTACTTCAGATAGATATATCTAGTAAAATAATTTGCTCATTCACAATCACTCGTAATATATTTTGAATGTTTGGTATGCATACGTACATTCTTCAAAATAACTTTTTCTGTGGAAAATTACATGTTGATTTGGTCTTAAGCTTTTTGATAACAAGTGTGATGATAATATTTCAAAGTCATTGATGCTTCTAACTTCAATTTCATCCAAAATATACAAGGCTTATCATCAGCGAACCACACATTTGAGAAAAAAATATCTTTTTTTTATTTTGCTTGAAAACATCTACTTAATTGAAAATTATATTATAGTATAGTTATATTTATGTAACTCCTTGTGATATTTTTATAATCTATAGATTTAGTATGATTTTCTCGACTTAAATTCTTTACATTTTATATATTCTGAGGGAGCATGGAGTAAATTTAGTGATTACATTAAATTTTCTCTTAAAATATATGAGATATGCAAATAAAATTTTATATAAAAATATAATGCAAATGCATATGCTCTTATCTTAATTTTAAATTACAACTTTATCTTTCTGCATTCAGAATAGTAACTATAGGTATATTTTCTAACTATTTCACAAAAATTAATTAATCATCTCAATCAATAGATTTTTTTCTACTACTTTTTAAAAACTTTTGAAAATTCATATTATCTGTCGAATCAGGAAATAAAAAACTGATAAAAAATGTTAATTATGATTTTATGAAACATGTTTTATAAAATTTGTTTGAAATACTTTCATGATTCAACAGATAGAATTTTTTTGTCAATGTATGTTTTTTTGGCTCATTCTAATTTTCAATCATGATGTTTATGTCAATCACCAGTGCACAATTTTTGAATGTGAAAAATGAATGTTTCTTTCAGCACCGACGAAAAAGCTGAAAGGTACGCTGCGCAGATTATACCAAGTGGTATAGAATGAAATCATGACCATTCTAAATAACTGTAATATAAAAACCATCACTAAATATCTAACTATATAATCGTATTGAGAACATATTATTTGGATTTGTTTAGTTAACTACGGTTGCTTTTGAGGGAAAGAATTTTTGAGTCTGGTCAAAATTGGCTGCAAATATTTGTAAAATGTACTAAACTATTTCAGTATTTTTTGTTTTACTATTTTCATAAAGCAATCTTGCTAACCGGTTCATGCATTATTGCAATTACTTTAAATTTAATTTAATTAAATTTAATTTAAATTTAAATTAAATTAAATTTAAATTTAAATTGAAATTAAATTTAAATGAAATTTATTTTAATTATTTTCTCAATGGCAATCGTAGTTTTTCATAGCATCTGTAGGTGGCTGCCAGAACACCCGCGTGTAAATTACTGCTAATGTTACTGTTTATCAGTATTATTGTTTTTTTGGTTGCTTAGGACTATTTCAACTAAAAGTTGAAACATTAAAACTTTGTGCAAAATTTAATAACGTTCGGAAAGATTCTGACAAATATATACCGAATCCTAAAACGTACGTTTTGTTATTTGATAAAAAACACTACCGCAGAATTAAAGGCTGTGTCGAATTTGATTGAGTATGCAAAATTATTATTGAAGATGAGCAGTATAAGCTTAGAAGCTGATAATGAAAGTTCAAAGAAATTATTATATCCCACCTTTTTCTATGGATGTAAAACCTTATTGCTGCAGTAAATCAGTAACTTTATTCTTGCTACTAACAATTTTTTGCGAGGTGCTAAGATTAAAAAAATATATATAATATACAGATTTGAAACCAACCTAAATATCTTACCTAAATCATCAAAATTCAAATGGACAAGAAAACTTTATCTATACGAAACACTATTAACCAAGACCCAATGTTCTTCTTTCTTTTCACGTAAAATAGTCTTTACGTGAAAATAATATAAACTAAAACATCGGAGGATATTCCAATTGGTCGTTTTCTAACATGATCATACTAAATGATATAATATCTACTTTTTATACTTTTTCACATATATTGCCTACTATAACTTCACTATGATTTTACAGTAATCTCAAATACTATTACCTATATTGCATATTTATTTTAATATATTAGTAATAATTATCGTTTTAAACATTTTTCAATTATGTTACAAATATAGTTTATTATAGATTTTATAGAAAATATTTAATAATTTGAATTTTTATCCATGTACATTAATTAGTTGTAGTAATTTTTTTATAGTATTACGTAATACAGCTTACTAAATTGAACGTCATTACTTTTGGGGTATTGGTATTTTTAAATAGATTTCCCATTTATAGTGTAATGCTAAAAAGCAAATAATTCTAGAAATTTTAATAAATATAGATAGAATCACGTAAGAAAATATCGCTTCATTTTGTGACTTGACTGTGAATTAAATTTGAGTGCCTAGTATCGAATATTAATGAATCATATTAAAATAGTATTGTGTATTGTTAGGGCTAGAATGTTTTCACATATAATTTTTTTTCTATCTTTATATTAAATTTGAAAGTATAAATTAATTTTCAATATAAACACTTTTTAATATAAATATTTTATTATTTTGTTCAATGAAATGACATTCTAGCTCCTAAAATATCTATTAGAGAGAATGTTACTATAGCGATTACGAGTGCATCACCTAGGTTAATCTAATTTAGGTTTAGGAAGAAATGTAGTGTATATCTGCTTTTGTAAAATTGTTTTTATACTATGATATTCTGAGCAAACGTAAATTAATACAAATTATACTTAAAAGTTCAAGATTCATAATATAAAAACATTAATGATAACAATGCACCATGAATTGAAAGAAACTTCTTTATTACTAAATGATGTTTTCAATTCAATAAATCACTTTCACAACCATCACTATCATTTGTCATGATATTACTAACACCATGCAATTTTTGTTTTACATTATCATAAAAATATCCAGACGAATATTAATGCAAAATTGTACATTTTTGTCCTAAATATTTTTTGGTTAAAATTTCTAGTTTTAAAATCAATACCGTAATAAAATAATATTATATCATACTTTATTTTTCTATAATTTTATTTATCTTTTTTTATGTAATTTATATTAGTTTTTGTGTCGCACACGTTTTGTTTATTTTCTTTCCTATGTTCTGGCCAAATTGTATGGAAATACTTATAATTTTGTACATAGGTAATTATATTTAATAGATACTAACTAACCTTGTAAATAAGAATTAATTTTCAGTTATAATTAATTTGAATGAGCTTTTGTTTGGCGAATAATTGTTATAAAATATTAACAAATTTATATATTACTAATAGATAATATTACAAATAGATTTATTTATTAAAATGTGATCTTTTTTATCTTAAATTACTAGTTCGCAATCTTATCAACGTCTGGATATTTTACAACAAATATCATTATTATTTAGTTTTTACTGAAATGAATTATCTATTTCTATATTGTTCTGATCAATTGACTAAATAATTTTATTATGATGCAGGTTTTGGTAGGTCTGGTTACCTCCGCAGCGTCAGGGATCGCGGAAAATGCGCTGATTTTTGGCGGGCGGAAAAGCGATTTCGTTTCTGGATTCGCAAAACTGTGAAAGCCCAGTGGTTCTACTGGTTCGTCATAGTGTTAGTGTTTTTCAATACAGTCTGCGTTGCCGTCGAGCATTACGGACAGCCCGAATGGCTAACGCAATTTTTATGTAAGTAATAATGATAATTTAAAACAAAAATTCTAAGGTTAAAATTATAAGCATTTTTGTAGGGTAAATTATATAAGATTAGTTTTTCTTTTTACATTATTCTTTTTTTACATTAGTTATAAGTCACAACCAGTTAAGACATGGAAACAAATTCTCAGTTGCACAGTTAGTATATGGAGCAATTTCTTGGAGCAATATCAAAATATTTAAAATGCTGAAATAAAAAAAAGTGCGCGTAAAGTTCACACGCGATTGAAGTAAAACTTATTTGCTACTGTACAAGTTGGCATTTAAGTAAAAATATATGCATCATATAAAAATTTTGAATAATGTTTATTAGTAATATGGTAACGTTCGTGATGCACACATTTATTCGTGTTGACCATTATACTCATTTATATATTGATAAATTAACAATTATATATTTATAATAGCATTGAAAAATGTATAATATTTAAAAACAATAATGTAATTGAAATCACACTTCAAATATGGCATGATCGGTTTGTCATTGTAATTAGCATATTAAACCTTCATTAGAGAAATGAAGTAATTGCTGATTAATAAATTCTAAAATATTCGTTCACACAGTGGATTATGTTAAACAACGCCTTAACAAATATTGTTTTCTCAACTTTACTCATCATGTAATTGTGTTTGAAAAACTTCATGTAATTAAAATTAACATACATTCATTGACTGTTCGTATTTTTTTTTACTTTTTCGCTGGCGATACAATATTATTCTTGGAACAGCTGTAATATCTGACTTGCCTAAAAAATATTTTCCATTTTAATAACTTAAAAAATTTATAGAAACCACGAATAATATAGAAATAATTTCTAATCAATAAACTTACGGTTAGCACATGGCACAAATATTTAATTTGTTTAATATTTTTAAGGAACAGGTTAAAATATTCTTCTGATTCAGGCAGTTTTCATTAAATCGAGATTTGTACTTCGATGTAACTTTTAAATGTTTATTTATCTATGGCAATTTTCTTGTTAATGTCGGTATGGATACAATGTTGATGCCGGCACGCATAAAACGACAGTTCTCTATTCACATACACGACGACTAATCACAATCGGCCCGTATTGAAATGATTTCATCGAGAGCAAATGACGTATAGTTCGGGCGTAACGCAATTTCCGTTGCATTCGTACGGATTTACAGATTTACCCTAGTCGCGCCTAAAGAAGTTTTACTTCAAAAATAAAGTTAATCGGCATGAGATTGTATCATACTTAAAAAGGAAATATGACATCATTTATCAGTCAAAAATTGGCCAGGGTTTTTGTATTTAACCCGAGACCCTTCTGGGCAGCACGTATGATGTATGCATACAAATACCTGTACTTCGAATACAAAAACCCCTAGTCAAATCTTGACCATTCATAATTACTTGTATTTATATTTTTTATAGGTTTAAAAGTATTTAGAATTGGACTATATATTAATACAACCTTTTTTCTTAGATTATACCGAATTTGTGTTCCTTGGTTTGTTCATGATGGAAATGTGGATAAAAATGTACGCGCTGGGCCCGCGGATATACTTCGAGTCCTCGTTTAACAAGTTCGATTGTGTCGTTATAAGTGGCTCGATATTTGAGGTAATGATCTTGATTTACTGCCATATATAAGCTAGATTAATAAGCAATCATTTTTTTTAAATTTATATTTACATTATTATATAGTTATCTCAAAAAAAATTGAAATTAACTTAATTCCTTCCATTTTCATGTCAAAAATAGCATGCATTTGAGAACAGCTAGATACTTTTGAGTATTATAATCAGATATTAATGTTTAAACCCATTTTGTCTATATTGTAAAAATTATTTTTACAAAATTTTAGCACAAAGATATTTCTTCTATATTGTTCAAGATTTTCACAATGTGAGGTGTCCTTATTAATAAATGTTGGACTTATTCTAGGTGATATGGTCAGCTGTAAAGTCTGTTCTTTCGGCTTGTCCGTGCTTCGCGCTCTACGTTTACTCAGGATATTCAAAGTAACGAAGTATTGGGCTTCTTTGAGAAATCTAGTCATTTCGCTGCTAAATTCCATGAGATCCATTATTTCATTGCTGTTCCTGCTGTTCTTGTTCATCCTGATATTCGCTTTACTTGGGATGCAACTTTTCGGAGGACAGTTTAATTTTCCAGATGGGACGCCGGCGACCAATTTCAATACGTTTCCTATTGCGCTGCTTACGGTCTTCCAGGTAAGGCCAAAATATAAAAACATATTATGGTAATTAAATCATATTTTCAAATCTTATATATTGCACTATTGGTATATAATTCCATAATTTTGTGAAAAATGTGAAAATATAATGCAATTGATAATGTTGATAATTATATAAATTACAGATATTGACTGGAGAAGATTGGAATGAAGTAATGTACCAGGGAATAGCTTCGCAAGGAGGGCCAAGTGATGGAATGATTTATTCTTTATATTTTATCATTCTTGTATTGTTTGGCAACTATACCCTGTTAAATGTGTTCTTGGCTATCGCCGTCGATAAATTTGGCGAATGCTCAAGTAAGTAGTAATAAAACTTATTCCCCATATGCGTAGTATAAATCTTGTCTATCACAATTCCTATTATTTGAACCTAATTATTTTAATTTATTTTTTAGGAACTAACAGCAGCTGAAGCAATTCAGGAGGAAGAAAATAAAGAAAAACAGCTGCAAGAACTTGAGAAAGAAATGGAAGCATTACACGTAGACGGATCACCGCCAAGAGTTGATGGACTCGCATCGTCGCCAACGTCGAAAACGAAAGTAAGCATTGAAATTTTAATTTATATAATGATGATTTGGTTTTAATTTTCATTCATAATATAGAAGAAAGAGGAAGAAATAAAAATAGAAGAAGAGGAGGACATCACCGATGGACCAAAACCCATGTTGCCATATTCATCTATGTTCATTTTATCAACGACCAATCCGTAAGTATAGTCTAACAATACATATTTTATTTACCTATATTATTAAAGTTAACTTATAAAATAATGTTTCATTCTAGCATACGACGTGCAGCGCATTGGGTCGTTAATCTTCGTTATTTTGACTTTTTTATCATGGTAGTGATCAGTTTAAGTTCAATAGCCTTAGCCTGTGAGGATCCCGTGGTCGAATTTTCGACGAGAAATATTATATTAAATTATTTCGATTATGCGTTCACGTGTGTCTTCACGATAGAGATGGTGCTGAAGATATTGGATTTAGGAGTTATTCTGCATCCTGGATCCTATCTTAGAGAATTTTGGAATATCATGGATGCAGTGGTCGTAATTTGTGCGGCATTGTCCTTTGGTTTCGAAATAACGTAAGAAAATATATACTAAAGTGGCTAATCATACTCTCATTTCCTTAGTAACATGTTTTCAATAATTTGTTTGATATGTTGGTAAATGATAGAAATAAATAGTAAATAATTTATCCATATTCCTTTCAAAAGTGATATTTTTTTTTCTCCAGCGGAAGCCCGGCCGTGCAGAATCTATCCATGATAAAATCGCTTCGAGTTCTTCGAGTTCTTCGGCCTCTGAAGACAATAAAGCGGGTTCCAAAGCTGAAGGCGGTGTTCGACTGCGTCGTTAATTCATTAAAGAATGTCATCAACATTCTCATCGTGTATATATTATTTCAGTTCATTTTTGCTGTCATCGCTGTGCAATTGTTCAACGGAAAATTTTTCTATTGCACCGATGAAAGTAAACACACTTTCGAAGAATGCCAGTGAGTATATTACAAAATTTTTAAAAATTATAAATATGGTATACATATATATATTTTTATCATATTTATGATTCAGAAAAGTTTTATTTGATCTTTTCTTGTTGGCACTAGACCAAGTTTTTTCATAACTACTTAGATCTTCATAATGCGTATTATTGCTCTCATAAGATTTTGCCTGTTATTAGAGAAACCTTAGTTTCTTTGAATATTAATTTGTGTAAAATATGATATTTGGAAAAGATGCACAAACACATATTTATAAATACACACTTCTATATTATAATACTAAATCATTAGTCAATAGGTAGTTTGCGGCATGAAACATTCAGACTTGATTTAGAGAAATTTATTACCCTAAGAAAGTGTACATTACTTCTAATTTCTAAAATATTGAAAATATTTTATTTGAAATATATCATATTTTTATACATACAACAATACGCTAATTGTTTTTATATGTATTGACCAAAATTTTGAATATTTCAGAGGTTCGTATTTTAAATTTGATAACGATGGGCCACCCAAACGCGAGGAAAGAAAATGGGAGGCACAAAGTTTTCATTATAATAATGTTGCAAGTGCTATGCTGACTTTATTTGCTGTACAGACGGGGGAAGGATGGCCACAGTAAGAAACATTACTGTCTAATTTCTCAATTTAACGTTTTATTTCTAAATAATTCAAACAATTTAATTAAAAGTCCTAGTATTAACTAGTATACCAGCAATTTTTTCTAAAGGTTTTTGCATGAGATTGACTGTTGTCTGTTCTGTACAGATTCATTCCTAAAATTGTCTTTAAAATTATAGAGTGCTTCAAAATTCAATGGCTGCGACTTATGAAGATATGGGTCCTATACAAAATTTTCGGATAGAAATGTCTATTTTCTACATAGTGTATTTTGTAGTGTTTCCTTTCTTCTTCGTCAATATATTCGTTGCCTTGATTATTATTACGTTTCAAGAGCAAGGCGAAGCAGAATTGCAAGACGGAGAAATAGATAAAAATCAGGTAAGAGTTGGCCTTTGGGCATCAAACATGCAATTCTTTATGTATCAATTTAAAATTATGTATATATTATAATTTATTTATATTTCTTTTAGAAATCTTGTATAGATTTTACGATAGGGGCAAGACCTCTCGAGCGATACATGCCAAGTAATCGCGGAAGTTTTAAATACAAAGTTTGGAGAATAGTAGTGTCAACGCCATTCGAATATTTTATAATGATGTTGATTGTCTTTAACACGTTATTGCTGATGATGAAGGTAAGCCATAATTAAAATCATTTATTAAAAATATAAAAAATTTAATTTAATCATTCTGACTAAATCAAATCAAACTTGATTCACCTAATATGCTTACAATTAGTTAACAATTAATTTTTTTAATCACGATTTATGTTTACTTCGAAAGTATTCAATCAAACTTAAAATTTATACTATCAAAATGAAATTTAATTTTTTTAAATTTAACAGATTTTAATTAATTTTAAAATTTTACAGATTTAATTTTTATTTTAAATTTTACAATTTTTGATTAATTTTTACGATATATAACAAAAATGTTTATTTTCAGGATATAATTATATTGAAATATATGCAATATTTAAAATTAATCGTTGATATACATCGATATCGATTATAAATAAATGTTACATATAAATAAAATATAAATAACTGCTAATGCAAGAACGTACATTACAAATTGTAAAAATTGTATACAGTTTGAGAATTTCGTTTTGTTTGAAAAAATCTCTGATTATTTTACCATCTGCAAAATATTTTATTCGATAATTTTAAAAATACGAACTAAAGACGTGAAAGTCTAAATCATATTTTTTATCATAATCTGAATTTATTAATTCGTTATACATAAGTAATATTGTTGCATATATTTCAATCATTATAATGTATTTTTGATGTTCACAAATGTATTGCAATTATTTAAGCACAACATATCAATTAGAAAAATGGCTTCACTTATGGGTTTAAAACACTAAGGAGAAAAGAATATAATGCACTTAAATACTGGGTCACAATACACAATGAAAAAAAAACATTACTTAACATGCACTACACAATTTTTACCAGCCAACATTATATGAACTTTTGCTGTATATTAGAAGTGGTATCATGTTTGCAATTTAATAATTTTAGCTCAAAACTGTTTCAAGTGAATTACATTTCATCAGACTATTCAAATATCACATCCATTTCGTCTAAATTTATGTCAAATATTATCAAATCAAAAAAAGCAAAATGTACCTTTCAGAGTTTAATGGGTGTCATTTTATAGTAAGAGAACGTACTTTTTTCAATAGACAGTTCAAAAGCTTTTTAGAACACTTGAATTACTTAATTCAATTTATACAAAAAATTATAGCTTAATTATTTGTTAATGCTGCCGATCCACGTGTTGCAATTCAATGGTGAACAAAATTTTAGTATTTTTATTTAAGAATTCTTAATTTCCATACAATATACAGCAATGGTTGGTTAACATTATTACACTACAACAAGAACATGTATGATACAAACAATGCTTCATATGCTTCAACAAGCTTTATATCTCAAAGCTACAAAGCAAACGCTGGCAAATTCAATAAAAGCTTTCGTTCAATCTTAAAAAATCTGAAAAACGCTTTCGATCGTTAAATTTACTAAACGCTTAAGTATTTTTGCATGCAGATTTTGCTGTGACTAGAGTATTTTTCTTAGTTTCTGGCGATGTACAATATATCATTAGAATATCATGAAAAAAATTAAATAGAAGTTCATTATCTAGCAACTTATGAACAATCACTAGTAGTTAAATTTTTTTTTAGTAAAAGCTCTTTTTAGAAAAAATAAAAACTTTGATACATAAAAGGAACAAAATAGTAATAAAAAGAAATGAAAATTAAAAGTAAATATTAAAAGCCAGATTGTAACTTACACACATTTTTATTATTTTTACTTTTATTTGAGTGCTGTGATTTGTTATTGTGATCGCACCCCACGTCAAATTTTTTACTAAGTGTCGTGAGCACAAGATATTTTAGTCTTTTTAAAATACTCGAATTATTATTTCCACAGCTGCAAATTTTCATTTTGTGTATGTCATTGTCACTACTTTCATTTCAATTATAACTGTTGTCTTATAATAGTGGTGAATTATTTAAATAAATAAATACTTGATGATACCTTTTCGTTGTACCAATATCTATTATAAAAAAATAAGTCGGGTTTTCCTTCCTGACGATATAACTCCAGAACGCACGAACCGATTTCGACGATTTTGCATTTGTTGGAAAGGTCTCGGGCTGCGTGAGGTTTATAGCAAAGGAAATTGAAAGAAGATTTTAATAGAAAAGCGGAAAACACTTTTTCTGTTTTCACATACAGCGTCATCTCGGATACTTAGCATGCACTACAAACTAATATTTATTTGACCGCTACTCATTTGTTTGACAGCTACTCATTGTTCTCTGCTCAGTTAATTTCATGTGACAAACCGGCATTGTGTTCACTGTGAAATTGTGCAAAAAAGTAAAAAAATAAGTTATTTTTTCCTAACATTTCAATTGGAAACTATCAAATCAATCACGTTTATTGTGCAAATTTTTATTCAATTTCAACAGCAGGCAATTTTTTTCTTTTTTTAATTACCAAACGAAATGTTACATAAAATAAAACCATCTGGTGGTGAAACGGAGTTCGCCCGGTTTGCTAGCAAATTTATAAAATAAGAAGCTTCAACAATTTAACTATAGACTCGGTGCCTTGTATCTGATAATATCATACTGACGTTGATATCATAAATCATATATTAATTATGTAGGGTAAAATGGTTTCCTTTGCAAGATTCAAACTATTGTTTGAATACTATTATTAAAGTTTTATTACCCATGAAACTTGGTATTTGAAAACGGCAAATTAGTATGTATATTAACAACGATATGAACAATATTAGTAAAGTACCTCGTATAGATTTTATCATTTTATCATATCATTTATAGATAATTCAAATAAATTTGCAATAATCATGACCTTACTGTATCATACTTTAGACTAGGGAATACCAGTATACCGGTATACCGGAAAAACTATACCGGTATTCCGGATTGATGTTAAACTTGAATTAATCACAACCATTTGAACTTTAAATCTCATAATCGCTTAAACCAAATGTTTCGTTAGGTCGTTCTATTGTATAAACAACTATCAAAATATTATCTCGACCCGTCATTAAACTCCCTATCATGTCACAATGAATAGAATTCTGAAAAAAAAATGTAACAGTGTTTTAAATCAACATTGCCGCTAAATTAATTATTATTAATTATATTATATCATCAATACCAGCTTACTACAGGGTAATCTTTACCTTTGTTCTAAATTTATACAAATTAATCATAATAATTACTGAAAGTTTTTGTTATTAAAAACAAGGTTGTATTTCAATCTTGAAAAATGTAAAATCTCAACAACTATAAAATATAAACTATCACATTTCAAAAATAGTGACGGACTATTATATTGTTTAAATAAAAATACTCAACGAATATAATCGTATTAGGAGATTTTTCATATTATTTAATAAGAACATATTAAATTAGCTTGCAGTGGCTAATATCAAGATATAATTTTCATATTAATTGGTTTTATTATATTTAGACAATTTTCTTAACTTTTTTATAATAAAATAGTACAGTAGTACCAAATGTACAATGAGTAAATTTAAAAATGACATACACAATTAGCAGCTTGAAGCTTTTACATCTCGTTTTGTTTTGTATCTCTATAACCGTATTTCTAAACGTTTCAAAACTCTGAATTTATTCAACTTCAACAATTTATCTATAACTTTTTGCGTATTATGCACCAATTAGTGTAATAGTATATTTAATTTAAACTATAAAGTACATAAACTACACACAGGCACAAATTCAATATTTTATCTTACTCTTATAGGCACTTAATTTTTAACACAAAATATATACTAACACTATTAACATATTAAATCAAATTATAAATTAGTAAGTAGAAAATAAAAGATATAATAGTTCTATTTAAAATTACGATTGTAGACAAGTAGCGATGGCATAGTTGTCATCTATTTAACGATTTTTATATTATATTCATTTCGTGTAGTATCACAAACAATCAAAACTCTATGAAGAAATATTGAAAAACGCAAATTACGGATTTATTGGAATGTTCACAATAGAAACTATCATGAAGATTTTAGCGTACGGTGCAAGAGTAAGTACATTGTAGAATCGAAGAGAAAGAACAGATTTTTAGAATACTATTAACATGGTCATGTAATTGGCAAATTAAATAAATATATAGACTCCAAAATATTAGTTATCTTATGTAATGGCCATATTAATTAGTTTGTAATAGAAAAAATAGTGAATAATAGAAATTTAATTGAATTAACCTAGAAAATCAATTTTCAAATTTCATAGCAAATATCAAACATTGATATCGTTCAAAACAAGAAATTGTGCATCACATTACACAAATTTTTATATTTCAAACACGTGACCGACTAATCTATTAATCACTAATTTTGAAATTAATTAGCTTAGTAATTAGGAGCAGGTTTTGCTATGAAATTATTAATAAAATCCCGAAAGTATTCAATGATAACATCCTATCCAAACATAATCGAACATAATTCCTCCACACCACATTTATTTAAAAATATATCTATCATCTAATTGGGCAGTGTTGTCTTTTGCATGATTGTAAGCCAAAATGTTGAAAGAGACTTTAGTTAAACAAAATTCACGTTTTAAGCAATATGCTGAGCGCAAAATATGCATGTTTGTCTTTATGTTTCGCATGTTTGTTACTATTGTGTAAATATAAAGCACAGCAAAAACACAGTTATACTTGTTTACTATTTTAGTTAGTAGAAAGAACGACGACGGACAAAATAAAATTAATGGAATAGCATTAAATTGGGCAATGGGTTATATGTCATTATGATATAACATCATTGTTCATGAAAATATATTGCTTGAAAGGACAATTAACCCTGTCAACTCGGATTACGCCGCTCCGGTGGCAAAATTCATATAAATCTCGGAATTCTCGAGTGGAGTGTTAGTTTTTTATTCCTTTTATTTATTTTTTGATAAAGTACTACTTTTTCTGTTAAATTAGTACAGCAACAATTGTAGAACCCAGGCAATTTTAGCTTAAATTAAAATAACTTCAATAATTCTGTTTTCTTTGAGTTAAATATATGATTTGCAATATATTTCCCATGACCAATGATGTGTATCATTTTCCAATAAACCAACGTTAAATCCGTGACTATAAAATTATTATGAAATAACTACGTTTCGACATGCCAAATATATTTTGCTAAGGAGAAGACACATTCGTATTTTAGTTTCACAATGCTCCGACTGGATTAACAACAGTGTTGAAGTTCATGAATTTGGTATTCACCGGACTATTTCTTATGGAGACCATTATGAAGATTTTGGCATTCGGATGCAAGGTAGTTACAAAATTTACTCGATGTTGTGACTGATTTCAGGAATTTATGAAGATTCAAATATAATCCAACTTTCTAAAGTATATTTAAGATTAAAATAGAAAATTTCAGTTGTCTACATATTATAGCCGGAATGAGTTTGATTTAGGTTTCTATTTAGTTTAGGACATTATTTACAGGAACTTGATATTTTAATTAGTAGCTATATTATCAGGATTAGGATTCCATAAAAATAGTTGTAGTTGCGATAAACATTGTCGGTAATGCACAAAAGTGCGCTGATATTCAAGTTATTGTTATAGGTTTTCTATTTGATAATACTTTATTGGTTTTTCTTGCAGACATAGTTGAATAATTATTTTGCGAAGTATTTCTATTATTATGTATGAAAATCAATTATAAATGTTTTTTTTATTTTTGACAATGTATGAAATAAAAGTTAATTAGACCTATTCATAAAGTTCTTGAATTCTTGAAATGTACTTGAATTAAAATATTAATATTCAAGGGGCACAACCAGTGTGAAATTTTCAAAAAATCAAATTTTCAATTTTTTCATATTTTGATAGGTTATACCTTTAAAAATAACATACCAAGATTTTAAATCGATATCTTAAATAGTTTTTGAGTCACAGCCATTTAAAAAGTATATATATAGTATATAGTATAACGGTCATTTAATCTTTGAACGCGTTTTTCTCGAAACAGCATTTTCCGAATTTGCTGCAGCGATTACTCAAAAACAAATGATCCGATCACCATCAATTTTTCTTACATGTTCTATATATAGTTCTCCGTAAAATGAACTATCGATTTTTTGATCGGATCTAAAATCGAATTTTGGCAGTCCAAAAACGACCAAAATCTTGGGTAAAATTCGATTTTTTTTAAGAAACGCCGTCATTTTGTCAATTTTTTATTTTTTTTTCTTTATCGTAGTTCATTTTACAAACAATATTATCTAGTTTAATGAGATTTTTTTTAAATTTCATCCACGTAGAAGGCCGGAATCACTGCTGCAATGAAGGCCTTTTTTTTGTCGCGCCGTTGGATATCGACGATAACTTAAAAAATATTGAATTTTTTTTCTTCAAAAATTTTACTATCTATTCCTAAAACATGTATAAATATATTCCTAAAATTTTGAAATGATTGATGAAGTAGTTTTTTTTTAATATAAATTCCAGAAATTAATTATAATTTAAAATTTATATGTAAAACCATCTTACTTATAGCATAGTTATTTTAAATTAGCGAGAGGTATACATTATTTATTTATTTTTTAATACTTTATGCGTGCATGAGAACTTGGGTCTTTATCTCTTTAGTATTAACCCTAATCTAGCAAATATTTCATTAAAATCTAAATCTAAAATATTACTCTTTTAATAAATAATTCAATCGCTTTGTTAATTAGTATTCAGAGTATAATAGATATAAATCAGGCAATTTAATACATAGAATAAACCATATTCTTCTAAAATGGAACGGATAAGTTTTTTTTTTTAAATATAGTAATTTTAGGAGCATGAAATATTTTCGGAAACGGTGTGAATATTTGAATTAACTTAAAAACTATATATTATGAAAAGGTAGGTGGTTAAAGCAGTAGTGGGACACCGTATTATTATATTTAAAATTTATCTTAGGCTTACAACAAGAATAATTTTGTACCGTGCAATTTGTAGTACTAATACAATAAAGTATAATTTTTTTTAATAAAGTATAATGTAATAAAATTGGGATAATTATATAGAGTTTATTAACACAGCAGCATGTTTGAGTTTTGAGGTTTAAGTAAGGTTAATGAGTATTTCCACTACCAATTTGGGTATTAACATTCCATCATTAAATTAAATTTGTACCTACTCTATTTTAATTAGAGGTAGCTAGACTTTATATAGTTGTATTGACCCCTTAGATCCCGATTTAATTTAAAATATTGTGCACTGATCCAAACTCCTGTAAATTCATACTTCAGCAATAGAATTTGGAAACAATGAATTCTATTAATACAATTTTAACATTATTTTTTGGTATATGTGAATTTGAAATATGAGGTAGAAAAAATAATCATATTTCAGGTTCTGGTTCAGGTTCAGTTAAAATGTAATAGTAATAACCATTTATCTACTAATTCATTTGATGTACCCTGTCATAATATCCAAGTTCCTTAAAATTCATTTCACTGAAACATTTATTTATTTATTGCAATGTAATTATAATAAAATTAATTACTAACAACTTAAGATACTCAAAGGACTTTGAAATATAACAAAAACTTTACACGATAAAATATTTTAGAAAATATTAATTTATGTTTAGAGTTTGCGTATATTGTGAGTATATTCTGACAATACAATATACTTAATATTTGAAAAATTAGTATATGTGGTTCTGGAAAAGTGATTTTACTCGTTTAATAGTTTACAAATTACTTTTTCAAATTATCTTAAGTTTTTTATTGTTAGAAAAACATATTAGCTCTGGCCTTACTATCATACAAAATTAATATGAAAATTGTTGTTGGTAATCGTTCTGTATTATTTTTCTCCATTCAGTTATTTCAGAGTTCTTTGAGCATTGATTATAAGGGCATGTACATAATACTAATTAAATATTTTATACAGAATTTCTTCAAAGATCCGTGGAACACATTTGATTTCATAACTGTCATCGGAAGCATTATAGACGCACTTGTGGCCGAAATTGGGGTAAGCTAAATCATTCTAATCTATTTCAATAATATATATATATATATATATATATATATGTATAAATATATATATATATATATGTGTGTATAAATATATATATATATATATATATATATATATGTGTGTATTATTGAAAATTCGTGTTCAACATTGACACTTTTTGAAAAACAATTTCATATGGTTCATTGAATCAAGAGCTTAAAATATCATTTAAAAGCTCAAATCAGAAAATCTACAAAACAGAATAAAATACATCAAGTACCTGCATGTTTTGATATCTAATAATTATAAGCTTGTAGGAGAATACATATTTTAAAAAATACCTAAATGATATCCATTTTACCTGATCTCAGAATAAGTAAAATGCACTACCTTGACTGCAACTGGCAAAATGATTTAAAAATACACTTAATAGAATAGATAGGAAATGCAACTGATAATAGAAAAGAGATGATCTATGACAAATGGGCATAAGCCTATAGGTTTAGATTTAAGGACAATCGGCCGCATAACAATCCTATATTATGGCACTTTCCATACTAAATATTAACAAAAACCATGTGGTTACTGTGCACTCAGGCGTTTTTTTTCAGGTTGTTAGATAGAAAACCTATCCTAGAAAACGAACAAATGCCAAAAAAATAATCTTAGATAACAGGGTCTTTCTGACACGGCTTCATACAAGTGACGTTGCAGTTATGTGTAAAACACCTGAATGCACAGCAAGTACATGACATTTTGACAGTATTCAGTACGATTCAGTAGCATAATATATGGAAGGTGAAGCGTAACATGGCCTTGCCATAACATCAGTCTATTGTGCGGCAGAATAGGCTCATTAATGTTTGTGATTTGCTCATTTATACTTACGGGTATATTTCTGTGAACCTAGCATTTATTATAATAAAATAAATATTATTATGTTTATTAAGTATTATTTATTAATTGTTCAGGCAAATCAAGATAATCCCTTCAACGTTGGCTTTCTGCGTTTGTTTCGAGCAGCACGTTTAATAAAATTGTTGAGGCAGGGTTACACGATACGAATATTGCTGTGGACGTTCGTTCAGTCTTTCAAAGCACTGCCGTATGTTTGTCTTCTCATTGCCATGCTCTTCTTCATATATGCCATCATCGGGATGCAGGTAAAAAAATTAAATTAAAATTAAAAAGTTATATTAGTTCAAAATTTCATATACAATTAAAATTATTTCACCTAATAATAAAATACTATATCGTACCTGTAGGTGTTCGGAAATATACAGTTGGATCCTGAATCGTCAATTACAAGGCATAATAACTTTCAAAGTTTTGTGCAAGGGTTGATGTTACTCTTTAGGTAACCATGACATTCAGAATTGTAATTACATATATTGTATTAATTGGTTCAATAATTTTATAAATTCATTATCAGGTGTGCCACTGGAGAATCATGGCCGAACATAATGCTTTCGTGCCTGAAAGGCCAGCCTTGTGATCCTTTAGCTAATAAAGGCGACGGGGTTACCTGCGGTTCTAGTTTAGCTTATGTTTATTTCGTCTCGTTCATATTTTTTTGTTCGTTTCTGGTAAGTAAAAACTGTGAATTAATATTTAGTACACTTAAAATTATCGCCAATAATAATATTGAAAATCATATGACCATATAAATTTTGTTAAAATCGTTTATTGTGACTTCTGACTACATGACAAACTCCATATCTGACTTGTTCTTGTTTGACTTGATTTTGCAGAACATATATATTTTTATTGACCATAATCACAAATATTGTCCAGTAAAAACACGTAATTAATTTTTTAGATGTTGAACTTGTTCGTTGCCGTTATCATGGACAACTTCGACTATTTAACGAGAGATTCCTCAATTTTGGGCGCTCATCATCTCGACGAATATGTGCGCATATGGGCGGAATATGATCCTAATGCTACGTAAGTGCTTTATGATATTTCTGTGATTTTTTATATGAAAAGAGAGTGCGCGTAAAGTTCACATGCGATTGAAGTAAAACTTATTTGCTACTGTACAAAGCAGCAAATTTAAGTTACGTATAAATAAATATATCTTATAACAATTTTGAATAATGTTTATTAGTGATATGGTAACATTCGTGATGCACATATTTATTAGTGTCAACCCAACCATTACACACATTTATATAATGATAAATTATATATTTATAACAGCATTAAAAATATGTATAATATTTAAAAACAATAATGTGATTAAAGTCATACGTCAAACATGACATGATCGGTTTGTCCTTGTAATTAGCATTTAACCTTCATTAGAGAAATGAAGTAATTGCTGATTAATAACTTCTATAATATTCGTTCACACAGTGGATTATGTTAAACAACGCCTAAACAAATATTGTTTTTGCAACTTCACTCATCATGTAGTAATTGTGTTTGAAGAACTGATGGTATTTTTTTACTTTCTTTCAGCTGTAATATCTGTCTTGCCTAATTTTTTTTTTTCATTTTGAAAACTTCAAAGATTTATAGAAACTACGAATAATATAGGAATAATTTCTAATCAATAAACGTAAACGTACGTTCACGGTACAAAGATTTAATTTGTTTTATTATTTTCAAGGAACAGGGTTAAATTTTCTTCTGATTCAGGCATTTTTCATTAAATCAAGATTTGTACTGCAATGTAACTTTAAAATTACTATTTATCTAAGCCGATTTTCTTGTTGATAGCGGTACGCATACAACGACAGATCTCTATTCACATACACGACGATTAATCACAATCGACCCGTATAGAAATGATTTCATCGAACGCAAATGACGTACAATTCTACCGTAACGCATTTCCGTTTCATTACATCCTAGTCGCGCCTAAAGAAGTTTTACTTAAAAAAATTGAAATTAGATGAATAATTTGATCGTTTTTTTTAGAGTGAACAATTCATCCAGCTGAAATATAACTTCCAGTTTCCTTCTAATCAAATCAATATTGTTATTCTAGTGGCAAAATTCACTATACAGAGATGTACGATATGCTGAAGAATATGGACCCTCCGTTGGGGTTCGGTAACAAGTGCCCTAATAGATTAGCCTACAAACGTCTGATTAGAATGAATATGCCAGTAGACGCAGACGGAAAAGTCAATTTCACGACGACTCTGTTTGCACTCATTAGGGAAAATTTAAGTATCAAAATGAGAAATCGTGAGTAACATCCAAATATAATTCCAATTATGAAATTTATTATGGTTTAATAATTATTAAATTTTTCTACAGCGGATGAAATGGACAAGGCAGATGAAGAACTGCGAGTAACTGTAACCCATATTTGGCCTTTACAAGCTAAGAAAATGTTAGATTTACTAATACCGCGAAAAAGTGAGCTGAATGCTGGAAAATTGACAGTTGGGAAAATTTATGCCGGGATGTTAATTTTGGAAAGTTGGCGGACCACGAGGTTTGGCCAAATTGAACCAGCTGGTGTACCGGTAAGCAAAATAATTGTTTTATATTGATTAAAAGAACTAATGATTACGTAACCAATATCGTCTTACGTCACACATAACATTAATTACTATATTATATTATACGTTTTTTGTTTAATTATGATAAGCGTCTAAAATGTATTCGTTCATCGTTATATTTAAATATGTGTTAAAATCTGTCAATGTGTAGAAAATGTGTTTTGTTGATATATGTGTAGTAAATGTTACTACCTTTCAATGCGTAATATTCAATATTGAACTACATATTTTATTAGAACTTAATCCAAATTCATCGCAATATAATAAAATTTATTTTTTATGTAGAAATATGATATACTAACTTTATTTTTTAAAAAGAACCAAAGGTAAATAATTTGGCAAAGAAGTCATTTATATGTAATTTAAAATATCAAGTATATTAAGCAATTGAATTTTTTTAACTCAAAGTATTTATATTAACGTGATCCACCAACCCCCGTAGAAACGTAAATATGTTGTTCCTTTCATAGTACGTACCAGTTCTATTTTTTGGTAGTTACCTCAACCTACCTGTACGTTTTTAGTATTTGTTGTGTAAAACCAAAATAGATATCTTTAGAGTAATGTGTAGCGTCCAGTAAAGTTATTTTTTTGTTTTGTTCACGCACTTTTTCGAATTACCAAAATGACCAATTCTACCCAATTACGATGTTATTTTCAGGCGTATGATGGCCATAGCCCCACCGCCACACAACCGGTATTTATTTTAGAGTTTGCCTATTTCTTTTATTAAATTATCTTTAAAACAATGCACTATTTTTATTTCAATTTTTATTTTAGTTTCAATATTTAAAATTAAAAATAGATTACTTATAATGAATAGTTTAGGTATGGAATGATACTGCGTTTGACATTTTGGTAGTAAAATGATTTTTATTTTCTAAATTTTTTAGATTATATTTACAAAGATACTAATTACATTTACGGAGATAATATACAGCGCTTAATTAATAATTCGATTTTTTTTATTAATTACTGGAACCAAAATGTCTATGCGTTAGATTATTCAATCATAGTATCGCTTTGGAATGATTTAAACGCTCATGAAATTAAAAAATATATATATATGAAATTATCAAGAACCTATTTTTACACACTCATTATATATTAAAAATATACAACATTTATTATCGCTAATTATTTATAGAAAATTTCAGTTCATTTTTCCTTGAAATGAAATTATCAAGAACCTATTTTTACACACTCATTATATATTAAAAATATACAACATTTATTATCGCTAATTATTTATAGAAAATTTCAGTTCATTTTTCATCACTTACATCGATTAATATGCATTTGAATTTGGCGCGGTAAATATTGATCGTATAAATTGTTATATTTGATACTTCATGTCAAAGATTATTTTTAATTATTATGAATTATTTTTCATTAATATAATAAAATTTCACATGATGAAGAAAATACATAGAGATTTGTTCAATAAAAGTTTATTTCAATTTTAATCATTTTGGAATTCGGTTAGAAAAAAAGTCTACTTACACTCCTAGTAATTAATTAACATTTTTAAAATATGAACCTTTGTACAGAAATCATTTGACTAAAGTTTCTATTAAGTAGACTTGCGTTTTAGTAGGATATAAAATTTTAACTGCAAATATAATAATTGAAAAAACACCAAATATAAATGCTAATATAACTTTAAAGTGAACCTAATGAGCTCATATATTAATGCTTTTCAAAGTTATCGCAGTAAATCTCAGTAAATGCCGAGCGAAGACTTGTAAAATATCATTATTATTATTATATTATAATGAGTTTGCAAAAATAGAAATCTTAACCGCTTTAAATTATAGTATTACTGCCTTTGATTCTGACAACTATTTGGCAGAGTTGAAATCTAGTACAAATTTTAAACTGAAATAAGTAGTACTTACAATTAGGTTATTGGATGAATTATCAGAATTTGTGAAATTTCTGATAAAAATGAAAAACGGAAAGATGGGAAATTTGCGTTATTAAATTGTATTTCACATAAGTAGTGTTCGAATTAATAATAGTTTTTAGAATATTATTTAGTTTTTTTTTGATAATTTATTTTAAAGCACATTCGAAAATAGATAAAAAGTAGTGTTAGCATCATGGTTAAATTATGAGAAATAAAAAGCTCGTTTACCAATTTATCCATGATTAACACATGCAATAAATATATCAAATAGGATAAATTCACTTATAAAAATATTAATATGGTATTAAATTTGTAGCCTACAAAACGGACTTTAATAGCGTAGATAGGAAGTCCATCATTATGTCCTATAATTCTAGTTTTCTAGTTTATCTTTTAGTTTAGAAACCTTTAGATCACGTTATTTTTATCTCCTGCATTTTTGTAGAACAAGTAACTAAAAATAGTTTGAATAAAATTATTGGAATAAATTTTTAAATCAAATTTTTTTCATATTTTATTATGATGTTCTTAAGTGTATCGATTTATTCCAATAATACTATAGTAATGATTTAGAATTTTTAGATTGTACATAGTCACTCCGGCAGTTATTAATCAATTTTAAGTATGTTGGGGAACATAGATTTAGAACTACCTCAGATTGAATTGCCAATTTTTATATTTGCATGAGATTTTTTTAAGTTTAATCCTTTATACTTAACTATAGTAACTCTATAGCGATAACGCATGTTTTCTAATTTATTCTCTACTAAACAATTACTACAAATATTGATAGCTGATTCTATTACAAAACGTTTGATAAATTTGCATGTTTTTTTGCATTAATTTTTATGAGAATCTATTATTGCGAGATAAAGTTTCATATGAGACTACATTATTTTCTCTGGATATTAATACAACATATTTTATAATATAATATAGACATAACAAATGCATGTATTTATTATGAAAATTTACTATTTAATTTTTTATGAGTATATGTATTAACATATGTGTATTCACATATGTACATACATACTATATGCTATATAAATCAATGAACAGAATAAAAACTTAAGCACCTGCTAAAGTTAAAATAATTAAACTATTAGTAAATATTTGCTAATATTGCTAATGTTCTCATTTTTTATAACAATTCTATTCACTTCTATTTTATTATCACTATTTTTGTGAATTAAGTATTTACTGCAACTACAAAGTACTTTCTACAAAATATCGTATTAATCTGTTTTATATAAATATGTTTTATACATTATTTTGGTTAAATAATGCCTTAGCTATATTGCCTACTAAAATATATTTTGTAATCTTTATAATTTTTTTTAATTTAATTTATTTTTATTACCTTCGAAATATCTATGTTTATTACAATTTATACAATAAAACTTCTGAGCTTTATCTGCTGTAACATGATGACAAAATTAATAGTTTTGAAATTATCAGATATCAATTAAATCAATGCCGGTTTGTTCTATAAGTTTTGTCTGTTTCAATAAATATTAAGATTAAAATTTCAATAATTTATTAAGTCTTTGATTGATAATTTCTCGATTCCAGTAATATAAATTTCAAAAGTTATTATGTATTGATTTCTTTCGTTCAAATATTGAAAAATTAATTTATTTTATAATTTTTGAAATATGGAATTACTAATAGCTAATATAATTTGTAGTTTTGTTTTATCTTATCTGTATTGGTTTTATATTATATTACTATTTTTTTCGATCTAATATTAATCATACGTATCAATTCATATAGGAATCAAATATATAAGTTTCGAAATTACTTTGCTCTAATTATTAGGCTTGTTCTCGATTTATAAGGAAGAGCCCGAAAGGCTCAATTTATTCGAATACAAATTAAATACATTTATTTTTTGAATAATAGGTATTGACACTACTATAAAATTTTAATATACAAATTTTTTATGACATATTAAAACTATGTGACCAAAATATTTCATGACATAGTAAAACTATGTGACCATCATAGTGGCATCGTTAACATTACCATCTTGGGTGGAAAAGGCTCAGATCTTTTAACTGTATTCTTTGTGTATTATTGCTAAATATAAAAAATATATCTAAAGTGATTTGAAGATGAATTTTATAAACACCCTAATTTGATACTTTTATATAAAGGAATCATTTTATGTTTGTCATTGCATAGCGTAAATACCATTTTGATCTCGATATGATTCCAATGTATACAAGTAACATTTTTTTTCACAATCATGCTTTAAACTTTGTTTCGGACCTTTTATATTACTTAATTTCATAAAATAGTGGTTTGCTATATTATCGCACGGTGCTTTTGTATTTAACACATTGAACACAAAATCAAATTAAAACAAAACAAAACGAAATCCATCCGACTTTGCATCGCCGGTCGTGTGCAGAAAGCCTCGTTCTTCAATTGTTTACTGGACATGGCTGCTGGGCACGCTGGTTGGCCCGCAGAGGGATCCAGGGCCGGATCTTTATCTATGGAGCAGCCTTTGATGACTCCTAAGAGGGATAATAATCATCGAGATGAGGACAGGAGGGAATCTGATGAACATGTCAATTCTTTGACGGCCTTGGTCAGAAGAGGCACCGCGAGGCGATCATTCAGGTGAGATAAGCATAGAGAAATATTATTTTAAAATTACAACAAAGGTTTTCCACAGTTTTGTCTTGATGGATATTCACTAAATGAAACAATTCTCAGGTCAAAAATAAAATACAGTATAGGTCTTTTAAAGTGGAAGGATTTGCTACTGATAGCTCTTCAATCAAGAACTTTTTACTAACTTACTTCACTTGCTGTAAACTAGCTTATTGAAACCAAACTCATTAGGACTGTTCTTGATAATTTTTATAATTATCAATTAAAATTTTGTTTTTTATACTTATATGTATACCTTTATCAGCATTTTCCAAAGTTGAATTTTGCTGTCCTAATTCTTTATCTTTGCAAAGTATTCCGATTTTGGCATAACTTTTGGCAACAAATTACATATATCCAATTCATGTTTCCTAATACATGAGATTTCTAAAATGATTAGTTACTAAATTTTTAAAATTACGTAGCTAGTAAAGATTGTTCACAAAATTATTATTTATTTAGTTCCTCTTTCTTATTACTGTTACTCATATATTTTTCTAATTTTTTTCAGAGGAGGGAAAAAGGTGAAGGATGCTTTGCGTTCGGTAAAGTTCAACGTTCGATGTTTCCCTAAATGCTTCTATTAATTATTGCTTCAGTGAATTATTGGCATATAATTGATGTATGATTTTGAAACCAAAATTGTATTTTATGATTTTTTTTTAAAATTGTGTCATAGACAAACTCGCATTAGAGCTTCGGTCACACGTTGTTCGTTAACAAATTTAAAAATCAAAAAATTTTAAACATATATTTTTCTTATTGTTGCTTAAAAAAAATACATAGCACTAATAATAAACTAAACAAAAGAAATTTTAGCAATCGATGATAATTCTAGTTTATTAACATAGACTTTTTTGAGAAATGCTTTTACATACATATTTCATATTTAAATATATATATTTATTTTGCATTAAAAATGGTTTAATGAAGTTTTGAGAAATATAAATTTATAATAGACTTGATAATCTATTAGGACAATGTGAGCATGACCGCGGCTTAAGTCAACATATGTATGTTAAGTCAACAATACTTACATTTTAATCTGAAAGTAATAATTAATATACCCTAATATTAATATAATATAAAATAACGTTATCTGTTCCGTAATCAATTTCAATTAACGTGCGTTTATAATTAAAAATAATTGGTTTCAAAAAATGATAAATTTGCAACACAAAAAATTTAATACATGATGAAGTGTATAAATGTTGTCCTGTAGTACGTGTAGAGATGATAATTACACAAATGTTCGTATATATAGTAAAGTTTTAGATATTAATAATCAAAAATATAGTTGTAACATAAATGAATAATTTTTGATACTGAAACAAAGTATTCAAATATGGAATGACGTTTTCCTGGATTGTAAACAAAGCAATTGATTTATATATTTGTTAATTATTAACTTGATGTTTTTAATTTACAGATTCAATAATTTTAATTTATCAGTTACCTTACAGATTTCTTTTAATATTAGTTAAAACTTGTATGAAGATCTGTAAAATTTACTTTCAATTTTTTAAGCAAGTTTTGAGTGCATTCAAACAATTTTCTTAATAAATAAAACAAATGAAACTTTATTTCATATTTGGCTACTTTGTGAAATAATTTTAGCCTTTCGAAAAATAAGTTTGTGGAGCCAAGTAGAACCTCAGTTATAAAATCGTGAAAATATCGTAGATAAATAGTAAACCTTCTTGAACATTTTCAGTAACCAAACACAAATATTGATTCTAATTATAATATAATATATCGAATTTTTTTAGTCTAAATTGATCAAACTAGATCGTTTCTACAAATCAAACATTTAATATATAGTGTAGTAGTTTTTTTTTATTTTTACTGATATAAATCATGATAATATTGATATAGATGATAAAATCAGATATAGTGGAATATTGTATAATTAATTGTGCCTAATGTAATTATAAATCCTAATTATCTTTGATGTGTTTTGTTATTTTAGGTTTTGATGGTAAGTTCAGTACCTAACAAACATGAGAATTTTATTTTTGAATTATGCATGAATTAATCCTATTTTTTTCGTACTTGGCTTGTTGCATGTTAGATATAATATAGATGCATGCTTGCGATTTATGGGACATCATGATAAATAACTTCGAATCTAAATTACAATTAATTTGCGAAAAATAAGGAACCTAAAGGACTTTAGAAATAACCTACATGGTCGATGAAAATATAAAAGTAACAGCACCATTAAATATATATTTCCATTACAACGAATTTAACTAAAATATGTAAATCATTGATTTTTCTACAATAATCTGGGTTTACATTTTTTGCTTATAATTTGTATAAAATATATACCGTTGCTATGAAATTGCTTTTGGCTGTTATTTTTATCGCTCGAATAAGATAAAAGTTGAATGCTGTATATACTCATATAGTATTAATTGAAAAATATGAAAATATACATTTCTAAACCATGATTATCGTTCAGGTTTTGGAGTTGCAAGACGTTGGTTCGAGACAACCATCTATGGAGTCTTTGGCTGATGACACACGTTTGCAGCCACCTAGTGCCTACCAGAATGGTCATAGAAGATCCCCAAGTTTGAGGTATTTGTTTCAAAAACAAATTTAAGATTTAATATAATATTATATTAGTTTTGGTTCTATTCTTAAAATAAAGGGAATGGGTTTAATACGTGCAATAAATATATATTTATATGTTAAATATAAGTATTTTTCAGATTTAACTTTTTTAACTTCCCGAAGGAGAAGTTTGTTTTCATCAAAAAATCCGATTCGCTAATTTTATGTTTTCTCGACGTTTCAAGCCAATCTGAATCGAATGAGACCAAATTAAAAGGAAAGGGTATATGTGTGTGTACGTATGTGAACAGATTTTTTGTCGTAAATCGGCGTTTTCTCAAAAACGGCTAGGCCGATTTCAAAAATTTAAAAGCCATTCGATGCATCTCGATGAGGACTAGCGTTTATCAATTTCGCGCGACGATCAGCCAAGCCTTTTCTTTGTAAATAGCAGATTTTTATTAACCTTTTTTGGAATAGATATCATGGTCTTATAAAACATACTAAAAAATTGCGGCCTTACGATAAATAGTTTAATGTTAAAAATTCATCAAAGTTTGAGAAAATATTATAGTCAAAATTTGTATCAAAAGTTGCTTTTGTGATAAGTCAAACATTATCAATTTATTAATTTAAAAGAATGAGCTACAATTTTAAGGTACGTGTCTGTGCAATATAATTAATATAATTACAGTTAATTTAGATGTGTTTGAAAAGATTTCATTTGAAATTGCAATGTTTAGATTTAAATGAAAGCGAATACTTTATTTTTGAAATAAACAGTTGGGAATTTTATCTAAATATCTAAATTTCAATTTGGATTGATTAAGTCAATTCTTACACATTTCGGAAACTTTCGTTGAGACTAAATGCTTCTTTCAACTAGATTAGATTGTGTTCTTGAACAACAACCAGAGTAAAGAGTTCAATAAACTATCACTTTAATCAATAATCATCCCAATTGATGATACATTTCTGATAATCTAAGTAGCTATAGGCAATCAAACAGTTATAATATTTTTTTGTATTTTATATTAAGTGATATCTCAGTAATTATTCATTGGACACATATTATGAATTAAGTTAGCATCGATTATATATTTTCTAATTTCTTTGTATTAACCTTTTTGCTACACGAGTATTTTACGCTCAGTAACGCTATTGACCTGCACTGGCACAACGATATATTTCAAGATTTTTTTATTATCAATAGAAATGTGCTAAAAAAAATTAAATATCACGCTTTTGATGAACTAAAAATTACAATAAACTAGAGTTCTTAATAGTTAACTTATAGTAATAAATTGAGAAGCAAAAGCCTACACACAACACAAGTAGTCGATTGGATGTCGTCTATGGACGACACTTGTAGCGAAAGGGTTAAAGTTTGCAACTTTAACTTTTTAGCCATAATTCAATCCAACATAATTAAATTAACAATATTAATTTTAGACGTGGTCCATCGCCTTTGGTGCGGACACCTTCACCAAGGAGAAGACATGGTTCTGGTGCCCATTATCAATATCATCACGACATCGGCTTCTCGGACACGGTCTCGAATGTAGTCGAGATCGTGAAGCACGATCGAGGTCCTGCAGGGCGGTACGCACAATACACGCCTGGGCACTACCCTTACAGTCGAGTCAGGGGTAAGTTCTGTGTTAAATATTTGTTTAGAAAGAGCCAAATTATGTGTCGATTTTACTTATTAATTCATTACATCGGTTTCCCAAAGCAATAGCAATTATTATCAAGTATATTATGATTAAGGTGGCCATATTTTGTTAAGTCGGCACCGGGACAGAAATTTTTTGTTATGTAAATCCTGGACGGTTGGGGAGGGGGTAGAAGTGACTTTTTGCCTAGTAATTTACATATGATTTAAATTACAAATACTATTAAATAATTCAGTATTTTTAACTGAATAAATTGTTTTTATCAGAACTGCGGACTTTCAGCAAGAGCTTTATTATTCGATTATATTGTTCTCTTCTATAACATAATATAATATAATATTATAATATCTCATATTGTTTGATCAATATCTTTTTTTTGCTTTTGAGTCTTGTAAAACAAAATATTTAATTTTTTTCATAATTACTCGCTTGTTTTCACAATTCTCGTAAAATTGATAACAAAATATAGAACATAATGATATGAGTAGCTATTTAACCCACTTTTGGAATTTTGTTTTCAGTAATTTTCTTGTTCATTTTTGATTAGTTGTATTTTATTATCAATTAATTGTTGTATTTTTATTATCAATTAATTGCGAAAATTAATTTTGATTCCGGGACAATTCGCAACAAAAGATCTAAATTTGGAATAAATATTGCTTTTAAAAAACCCGGGACACAAGGTGGATATCCATGACTGTCCCGGCCAAACCGTGACGTATGGCCACCTTAATTATGATACAAAATCTTAAAATTAGTACAAGAATATACAAAGCGTTTTCAAACAAAGAGAAAAAAAATTGATGTGATAGCTGATAATTGATTTTTTGCATCAAAGTTTTTTTATTCCAACGCAGCCAAATGTAATTTTAATGTTTTTGTATGTTACTATAAAATCTGGTGACTATGATGTCGAACTTTCAAGATAGGAACAGTAGTATATAATCAAGTTATCGTTATCATATTAAAAGGTTATCAACATAATATTCTTGATTCTCTCAAATATAAAAATTTCGTTTATTTTAAAAATTGACATTTGTTCAATAGTACCAAGAAGAAGTACCTACTATATCATACTTTGGAAATAAATTATGATACGGCTGCAGTATTCTAAATAAATTTTATTGAATATTATATTTTCTAACAAAAACTTAAAATCCTAATTATCTGATTAGAGTTTTAATGCCTCTATCATAAAAAATATATTAGTTAAGTAGTAAAGCTAACCAACTTCGATATTTCATGATCATATAGTTCATAATCTGATATAAATGTTTCATTATTTAGTTATTTCATAACAGAAAAGCATTCAAATCATAATCGACTAATTTAAACCTTCATTTGGTTTCTTAACCATTCAATTATTAATCTGTTTGGATTTATCAAATTCAATGAACAATCTAAGTAACCAAATGATGATTATTGTTTAATAGTTGTTTAGAAATTTATGTTAACAGTAGACAGTGGCAGAAAATTAGTGCTGAAATTCATGTTTTAAATTATTATGCTTCGTATTTAGATAACATATAATTTGCTGCCACTGAATATGTTGTTGTTAATGCTTTTTACGTCACTTACGCAACTGCCATAAATCATAGACAGTATGACAAAAACATCGAATTTTTATAAAAATAATTATAAAAAAAAATTAACTAAAAACACATACGTTGTAATATACATATTTATTAGTAAAATGTGTCTAAGCGATCATCTATTCCCATAATTGAAAAATTAATTTACTAATTTTATTTTATTATATTTTATACTGGGTAGTATCAGCAATATGTGTCTAAATTTAATATTTTTAATATATATTCAATCAATGCTTTCTAGTGAAAAATATTATAGGAAATATGTGCTCACTTTGGCATATGTATGTTTGGCACTTAATTCGATATAATTACAATTATATCTTATGTTTTTTTATAAATTATGATAAACATGTATAATATACAATTATACATATTTATCATATTGTATATATAATTTTGTTTGGTGCCATTCGATTTAACACTGTGTGCACTTATTGTTAGAAAATAATATTTTATTGTATTTTGAAGAAATTACATTTCGTTAGACGCAAACTTCTATATAGAATTTAATTTATAGAATTTTGCTTTCTAATTTGTTATCATACCAGCTTACTTAATAAGATATTTTAGTTTCTTGGGTATTCTCTATATTATTAACCATGCAATAGGTACTATTAATTATTAATTAATAAAATTAAGTGTTATAAAATATTAGAAGAGCATATATATTCTATTTATAATTGAAACTAATTATAATTGAAGTTTATAATATTTTTATTATTTTTTCTATTTTTGTTACTGAACTAAAAGATCGAACTACATCAGCAGGTATGCAAAATTCTTATGACTTGAATCTGTTTAATTTTATAGCATCGTCACGTGATAATTTAGGGTATTTTGTATCAAATATAAAGGTCTTATTTTCATAATTTCATATTCTATATGATTGTTTTAAATTAACCAAAAGAAAAAAAAATCAGTCGAAGACGTTTACATGAAAAGATGCAAGGTGTAACCTTGTGGCTTTTTAAATGAAATTACAATAAAATGTGAAAAATAGTGCATCGAATGCCATCGAATATAATTCGAGATAACTTGTGACTGTTTATTTTTCTAAACAAATTTCTTTTACTGTGAAAAATATATTGAACTTTTTTTTTCAAATTATTAAGATTTCTGAAGCAATTTATAAATTTTCACTCTGTAGTCTGCTGTTCGTTTCACATATGTTGAATAGTTTAAAATGAAAAAATAACACGAAAATAACTGTATTTTAGCATTTATTTTGAAATGAGCTTGGCCTGTGAGTTTAATTTTCACCATATTTAGTAATTAGGGTGTAGGCTATTGCTATTGATTTCATGATACTATTGGAGGCTTGTCCAAACTTTGAGTGAGGCAATAACAAAGATAAATTGATTTTTGTTTAGAAAGGTTAAATATATATGATGTCGGTAAAACATATAACTATTAAAAAAGTTCAAATAAATTTAAACATTAATATTTTTATGTGGTTCGTTAAAGATTTTTTTTATTTTTTAGTAACACGTAGCAAGTTCATCGACGATATGTGCCTTATATTTTTTATTTTATTGAATATAGCATATATGTAACAGAAATATATATATATATATATATATATATATCCGCTGTTTTGTAAATAATGGATCGTATCATTTTCCAAATCCAATCTGAATGCACGTCAACCCCTGTTTCCCAATTTCCCCAGGCACATGGTCAGCGTCCACGAGTCCTGCACGTTCACCATCACCAACCTACTACACTAACAATCATCATCAAAGCCAACATCGATCTGCTCGTAACCAACACGGCGAATACACGGTTCCGTATCAATATCAAAGACCTCGAACGACTGACCAGTACTATAATCAGTACTATCGAGACAAATATTACGACGCCGATACCAGACATTACCATCACAGACACAGTTACCGAAACCATCAACAAGCGCACAGGCATGCAGAAAGGCACCAGCCCATTCAGGCTCATAGGAACGGATACGGAACAACCAGCCTCGGTCAAAGATCACGTTCCCCGAGCCCTTCCTTGAGACGTTATCCAGGCGACAAATATCAGGCGCCTGCGGTTGACGCGATTGGTAAACCAACCTCACACTTATAATATAATATAATAGGAAATTTATATTAGAAGAATATTTTGCAAGCTAGCAGTATATGGAGATTGAATACGAAGTGCTATCTGTGTCTGAAAGATATCAAATCTAATACTAGTATAAAAATCGACGTACACTACGGAGCATATTCTGGATGAATATATAAGAAAATAAAATAACGATTGTGGGTACTAAAAAATTCAAGATCTTTCATTCGTCAATACATCACTAAAATATTCTACTTGATTTTCCGAGATAAACTTCCCCATGGTTGCTACTGTGTTTGAGTCAGTATGTTCTTTATTAACTTGATTTCTTGAAATTCAAGATCTTTTACTCGTCATAACATCACTAAAATATTCTACTTGATTTTCCAAGCTAAACTTTCCCATGGTTGCTACTGTCTTTGAGTCATCATGTTCTTTATTAACTTCAATTCTTGCTGCTGAAATGATATATATCGTCATTATTTGATTTTTATATCAAATTGTAGTGACCTCATATTTTAAATAAATATATTTAATGTTTAAACATTTATGGTAATTCGAGCTTTGGGCAAATGAAATCGCAACTCAAGGGGTACAACTAGTGTAACCGTCTAAAAAAGAGGTGATTTTTGGGAATTTATATTAACAAATCTACTATATCAATCATTTCAAAATTTTAGTAATATATTTATACATGTTTTAAGAATACATAGTGAAATTTTTGAAGAAAAAAATTAGATATTTTTTAAGTTATCGTCGATTTCCAACGGCGCGGCAAAAAAAGGCCCTTCACTGCTGCAGTGATTCCGGCCGTCTACGTGGATGAAATTTAAAAAAAAAATTCTCGTTAAACTAGATATTATTGTCTGCAAAATGAACTACAATAAAGAAAAAAAATCAAAAATTAACAAAATGGCGGCGTTTTTTAAAAAAAGTCGAATTTTACTCACAATTTCGGTCGTTTTTGGACTGCCGAAGTTCGATTTTTGGACCGATCAAAAAATCGATAGTTCATTTTACGGAGAACTATATAAAGAACATGTAAAAAAATTGGTTAGTGATCGGATCATTTGTTTTTGAGTAATCGCTGCAGCAAATTCGGAAAATGCTGTTTCGAGAAAAACGCGTTTAAAGATTAAATGATCGTTCTACTATATACTATACGATATACGTATATACTCTTTAAATGGCTGTAACTCAAAAACTAGTTAAGATATCAATTTAAAATTTTGGTATGTTATTTTTAAAGGTATAACCTATCGAAATATGGAAAAATTTAAAATTCGATTTTTTGAAAATTTCACACTAGTTGTGCTCCTTAAGTCAGGCAATGCTCATGCTCCTTTCTATTGTACTAAAACGCACTCACATTTTGGATCCAATTCTTCATTACCACCACCGGTATTATTTTCTACGCAGCAAAGCTGGTTGCTTGATTTTTTGTTGATGTTTAGAAACCTGTATGATTCTAGCTCATACTTTATTCAAGAAATACTTTCATAAATAGATGACCAGCAAAAGTTTTATTGTGTCATTTCAATAAAGTTCAAGTACACACAAACATATTATTGGAGCTTTCACTTTGTTACCATGCTCATGTCATTCTAATAGCCTTAAACTTATCATGTTCGACGGATATGCTTCTAAAAGTATGTCGTTTTTTTATGATATTCTCGTACTTATGCTCAAACATATGTCAGATATATATATATTTTTTTTTTTTGGAAAAATGCGGTAAATAATTTGCTATTGAGTTAATTGTAATATACTTTTTATAATAGCGATTGATTTTTGAAGCTCACAAAACTATATTAAATATAGAATTTTTTGAGATCCTCACATTTATTAATTTAATTTACTTTAAAATTGTTTATTATTTCATTATATTATTTAATATTTAAAAAAACTCCGTCAAAAAATGTACTGATTTTCTTAACAATTTAATTAACTTTCTTAGTTTCTATATGTAATACCATTTTATAAAATGGATAATATTCTAAGAGTAATAAATCAAAATTGATACTAGAATTGAAACTGAGAAACATTTTCATGAACTTTAAATAATTTACTGTAATATATTACTGTAATCGAATTTGTAACTAATATAAGTATTTAGTGTGAATCTGATGGGATACCTAATCAATTATTCCTCTAAAAATCAAATTACACATGTATAGATATTATAGATTCATATTACTGATTTTTGAGGATACAATTCTGGTTCCCCATTCTATTCCATTTACCTGATAGTCATTTTATTTATAACGATCTATAAATAAATTATGGCATGAAATTAGAGTGATTCGTAAATAATAATGATGATAAACTTGTATTTATTTTGCTTGAAAGTTTTCCAACTATAATTTTATGACTGCTACGGTTGCATATAATTTTTTTGACTTGAAAGCATTTTTTGTGGAAGTCAACTTTAGAAATTTTTCTTATTTTCATAGAGGTGAAAAATGTACACCAACCTCTGATTAGCTTCTTTTGTCTCGAAAATGGTTGAAACTGACTTGTCTAAGTTAAATGAACATTAGACAATTACTTCTCAAACGTTGAATGCATTACCAACACATATGCACAATTTAAATGGTTTATTTATAAGTTTTTAATTTAAACCTATGTTGCAGAATGAATTCTGTTTTTTTTTAGTTTATCTGAAATTCATCATACATCATTTTATGGCATGAACTTAAAGCATGAATAAAATATTTCAATTCTAGATTTATTAGCATGATCGGTGTTGTAGATATTGGTGTTAAAAATTAAAAAAAGGAGCAGTTTTTCATATTTCTTGTAATAGTTTGTTTGATTTACAATCGATTTTTAGACTAAATTATTATCGAGAGTACAAGCATTTTCGTTGTATTGTATGTTAAGATGAAATTTTATAATACATATGAACTATATACAGTAATATGAATAACTCACGATTAAAATTATTAATATTATACGACAGAGAAGTTGCATTATATTATATATTTTGAGTAACACTTTGTTCAAAGTTTTACCGATATAACATTGTATAAATTATTTAAATTGATGAACTTTTTGCTAACGTAATTTATAATAATTGATGGTTAGCGTTAAATGCATGAGGTTTTATTTGTTGATTATATTTAAATATTGTATTATAATATAGTAAACAGGATATCAATTTAGGCTGAAAGGTGAATTATTCACCTCACGCGTGATATTTCAAAATTGTGTTCGAACCGTGAGTGATACTTCAATATTTTTATATGATATCATTAGAGTAATGCATTTCCATTTGCCTGTCATTCAACTATAGAGATTGAATGTATCATTATTTATAACAGATTTAACTATGCTAAACTTGTATAAATCTATTATATTTCTTATATCATATATTCCTAACGATTGGTTATGTGAACATTATAGGAGGCCCAATTACACCTTCGCACGTACAGAATAGTTATCCAGTATTAATGACCAGGAGAGGTAGAAGACTTCCACCAACGCCGAGCAAGCCATCAACTTTGCAGCTCAAAGGATCTAATATCAATTTTCCAAAACTAAATGCCAGTCCGACGCATGTAAGTAGTAAATTGATATATATTTGAATATCGATTTATTATGAGTAATTTTTTTAAATACTTATAATTGTTTTTCACCAACCTTTTCTCAAAATCAGTATAGTTATATTATAACGACTATCACAATCATACCCTGGCACAACCGTACCCAGTCTCCCCTATATTATAGCCACATTTTAAAAACGCTCATTTTTTACATTGAAAACAGTAGGAATTATATCAATATATGCTGTTTAATAAATATGTTGATATTATACTATAATATTTATATTAAATTGTTATTTTCAGCAACATATGACACCACACAGCGTGCATTCTTTACCTGCTCAACACTCTCGCGACTACGTGTCACATAGAACTGGCAGAGATGTCAATATACATATGAGAGATCGCGAAATATTGGATATCAATATTCGAGGTGCAACGGATACTTCGGATATTGAACGCGAGATTATTGAACGGGAACGAGAAGCTAGAGGAGCGATCGGTGAGAGAACCATAAGCAATATTGTAATCATTATTACTAGGGTTTAACGGCTTTCAAAAACCGGCTTTCTGACGAAAATTGTGAATTCGAACACCGGCTTTCAGCAAAAAAAAATCGGTTTTCACTGTATAAATGTAAAATGTAGCCAATATAGACAAAGTTTGATAGGAATCATATCGATTCGATAACATCTGGAATCTTATCAATCTGTTATGGTTTCCAGAAAGGCTCTGTGTTATCTTTTATCCCCATATATATATAATAATTTAGAATTTTATATCGTGTATATAAATTTAATATTAATTTTATATGTTTAGATCAGTGTAACTTCTTCTTGAAGAAATGACTTCTTCTGCTCGAACTTTTAAAAAAATTACATCTCTAGAAGCCACTAATAAAAGAACAAAATTTCTAGAATTATTATATCAGGCTTAAAAAACGATGAAATCTAGTTGCAAGTGAGAGAATATTTTTCTTTTTGGAAAATTTTGTGAGTAAACAAAGGACAATTCTAAATAACGAATCGATAGACGTCTTTAGCTTTTAGAAATCATATTTTATAAAGCAAAAAAATAATTAAAATATTTGAAATTAATGGATTAAAAAAATTGCTCCTCGGAATAGAAAATACTCCGGCTTTTGTTTAATTGTCTTTAGAAATAAAATCGACATTGTTTTTTTTAATAAATTAAAAGTTACGTTTATTATTTAAAAATGCATTAGTTTATTTATTCTAACTCTTTCCTTATGATAGTGAACATAAAAATATCTAAATTTTTATACGTGAAAATGATGCAGAAATAACGATTAATTATTTTAAAATTATTTTTTAAATCTAGAGCATATTATTTCTTTGTTCTACTAATTAAAAAAAATATTTACTATTCATAAAATTAAACAACTGTGTCAAATCACACTAAATTTGCCTATCTTTTTTTTATTACATAATGTTCGAGCGAAAATTGATTATTTTATAATAATAAATAAATCATTCAATATAGAAATAATAATCGTTCTCGCATTTTAAAATCTCACATACTCAATTTTCATATCAAATTTAATATGTATGAGTTCGGAATTAATAATAACCTCTTCATTTGTAATGATTTTTTTCAAGATCTCAAGTATTTTATTCGTTGATCATTCTATGCTCTTTTGAAAGAATTTGAAAGATATTATTTCTTCTCTACATATTAATAACAGTATATACTAATAATAATACTAATACACTATATATCTAGAGTATGCAACTAAAATCCCCCAGTTCGTTCTAAATTTTGGGCACCTAAATGAGTTAAAGATTTTACGGATCATTTATTTTTAACTTCCCGAAAAATTTTGAATTTTTCTATATTTCGATAGGTTATACCTTGAAAAATAACGTACTGAATTTTTAAATCGATATCTCAAATAGTTTTTAAATTACAGTCATTTAAAAGAGTATATGTACTCTTTTAAATGACCAATAGTATAACGACCATTTTATTTTTAAACGCGGTTTTCTCAAAACAGTATTTTTCGAATTTGCTAGAGTGATTACTTGGGGAAAAATGATCCGATCGCATTTTTTTTGCATCTCCTCTCCGATTTTTTGATCTGATCAAAAATCGATTTTTGGCAGGTCAAAAACTATCAAAATTTTGCGAAAAAATATAACTTTTCTTTCGACATGCCGCCATTTTGTCTATTTTTGGATTTTTTTTGTTTGCCCGAGACTAGAATATATCGTACACACAATATATTCTAGTTTAACGAGAATTTTTTTATGTTTTATCAACGGAGAAGGCTGCAATCACTCCAGCAGTGGAGAATTTTTTTTCTCCGCCGGAGATTGCGTGTCATTTCAAAAATATTTAATATTTTATTTCAAAAATTTTACTGTGTATTCTCAAAACATGTATAAATATACCCTCAACATTTTAAATAGATGAATTCACTAGATTTTTTGTTATTTTAATTCCCATAAATAATCTTTTTTTGGGTTGTCACACTAGGTGTGGCCCTTAAGTTGATTATATATCTGTATCGGAAAGCGTATGCAATTGGCCTCAAGGCAAAATGCTACTTACAACTACTCCAATTACAATTTTCATGTCTTCTATCTCTGATTCCTAAATATTCTTCCTAGTACGAGACCGTTCCTTGGACCGAGAGCGGCACATAGACCGTGAGATTCGCGAGCGAGAGCGAATGCTTCTCGAATGCGAACCAATACCAGGGTCCTTACTCGGGCCTCCTTCAACCGTGCCGCCGCTATCCTTCGAAGCTGCGGTCGCGCTTGGCCGAGGCGGCGGCCTGTCAACCGCTGGCGGTCGATCGGTACCTTCGCCTGTTCCTAATGGATACGCGTCCACCACAACGCCGAGGGCTTCGGCGAGGCACCATGGCATGCGAACTCGAAGACACTCTGACAGCGACGACGAGGACTGGTGCTAGCACAATGCCCCCGTCGACGAGGGGACACGTCAATATTTAAACACAGGTTGCAAAATTTATTTATAATATTTAACTATGTATTTTTCGATAAATGCGTAAACAGGGTAGAGCGCGGCTTAATGGTCATAGGGTAAAAACGTCCACCATCATTATCCCAAAAACATGTGAAGTGTAGAATTTTTTAACAATATTATTTGAAAGTAGAGAAAAAACTATGTGTATATAGCTAGCCATTGAATCAGGCGACTTTGGAATTAAGGGTTAATAGGCCGCATTGTCATTTCAATCATAGTATATTTTTTCGTTGTTAGTCTTTTTGTTTAGTACCAGGGGCGTAACTACCGCCGTATCAAAAATACGGGGTCCCCGAGACAAGGGGACAGAAAGAAGAATTTATTTCTACTGCAATATTTCTGCAAGCTCTAGCAAACAACTCAGTTAGTAAAGCTTTTCCACATTCGATAAGCTAACAAATCTATAAAACTAATTCAGATTATACATTATCTTCATCAAAAATTGGAATTTCGAATTTTTATATTTACATTTATATCGTTTTTTGTTTGTTATTGTTACTACTTGAATTGTCTGCATGACGCGTCAGTTTAATAGTTAGATTTTGATAAATATGATCAACTAAATCATTTTCAGATTTCTTTCTTCACTGTTTAAAAATATGAGTTTTTGTTCTGAAACTTTACAACACGCCAGTAATGACTTACAAAAAACTAGTATTTTAATAAGTAATCTTTTGAATAGGCTGTGCGAATTACCATATGAAAATTTATTGAAATAGGTTGTTAAAGATGGATTGCAATGACTATTTTAAATAACAAAATACAAAAGTTAATGAAGCGTTATTATCACAAGATGAGAGAATTTTAGACCCGAAATTATATTTCAATGTATACTATTGCTGTTTGGATATATTAACACTTTCCACTCGGGAGCCTGACTGCTCGACGGTGCGCTGCGCTCGGTATATTACAGTGCTATGCATATCTCTCAACTCGGATTTTTTTTTGTATCGGATTTTTTCAAAATGTGGTAATATTGCTTTTAAATACAGTTAATATGATAAAAAACAGAAAATTTGAAAAAAAATTAAGAATATGATAAAAACCATGTCAAAATTATATCAAATATATTTTGAATAAAAACTAAATATTAAAAATTAAAAAAACAATATTTTTGGAGAATAGATACGGCTATCGTGCCCATATTAAGAACAACCCCAATAATACTATTATTTTTTCTATATATATAATATACTTTTGTGTGTATGTATGTATAGTATGCATATGTATAATACATTACATTGTACATATAAATGATATATAAAATAAAATCTCGAGTAGCATTTATATCTAAAAAATAATGGTGGTTATGAGCTATTAAATTAATCTTATCACATTTATTTATAAAAATAATTATAAATTAATCAATAAATAAACTTAATAGTAAATTAACTTCATAAGTATGAGAAAAAATCACATGTTATACGTTTAGTTCGCGACGACACGATTTGCCGCCGGCGGCATCCGAGTGGAACGATAAAACGTATCTTGCCGCCGGAGTGGCGGCATCCGAGTCGAAAGGGTTAATTTCGCAAACCAAACAGAGATTTGAAAATCTTTGCAGCGTAAGTAGTAACATTTGTCTTTTTGAAATCGAGAATTAATAAACGTTTCCGGAAAACTGTCGACTGAATTACTGTAAAGAAATATTGTAAAATATCTCATATGATCATGACCAATTGATAGTTCAAGAAATAGGTTTGAATACATAAATCTAAGAAATGTATTTCATTAAGGTACAATGATGGATGCAATAGGCTTGCATCCATTACAATTTACAGTTAAAATCGCAACTGCTAATTTTTTTTTAAATTAAAACTAATTAAAAATTACGTAAATACTTTAAGACATAAATGTCTACCAAATCTGTATATCTACCACACTAAATAAGTCAGTTTTTTCAAAAAAAAAGTTAAGGTGAGTGAAAATACATCTGGAAACATTTATGAAAAATTCAGAAAATTAGAGAAAATTAGATAGATAAATAATTAGAATGATAAATAAATATTCTTTTAAAATTATAGATATATAAAAGTATTTCTATATTTTGTTAAAATTTAATTTATTAAAAGTTAATTTTGTTAAAATTATAGATATATAAAAGTATTTCTATATTTTGTGAAAAAAAAATTTCTTCTTGAGGGGGCCCCCAAACAAATTTTGATACGGGGCCCCGCCAAAGCACGCCCCTGTTTAGTACGGTTGTTTAGTTTACGGTATTATTTGAAAGTAAAGAAAAAACTATGTGTAACCAGCCATTGAATCAGGCGACATTGCAGTCAGAAATTAAAAAGCCGCGTTGTCAATTTCTTAATCATAGTATCATTTTTCGTTGTTAGTATATTTTCGTTCTTTTTGTTTAGTACGGCTGTTCAGTTTACGACATCTGAATATAATTTTTACGTTATTTAATTGTTTTATTAGTATTATTATTTTTAAGTTAGATTTTTTTTATTAGCTTTAAAATAGCTTACATGAGTTTGGGGTGAAAAGAACCACCTGCGATGTGTAAACAATAAGATAATATTAAATAAAAATATAAAACAAGTTCAAAACAAAACAATTTGTCCAGAGATAAATTACATTAATAGGTACTTCAACTTTAATGATGAATTATTTGGACAAATAGACTTGTATGCAGTGCGGTCTTTACAAAAAATTAAATGAGTATTTCAGATATATTTATCTCATTTATAAACAATGAGAACAATGAACAATGCGCCTGATTATATAATAAATTATACATACTACCAAAGCAAGTTTCATAAAGTAGTAAGAGTTGGTGAAATTTTTTATTTATTATGTTTAAAAATACATATTTAGATTATAATTTTTAATTGTTGTTTACTCTATGAAATCTTTTCAAAATTAAAAATAAAATGGTGGATCTTTTTGCCACCTGGCTATTTCTTTTTATTCTACCTATGAAGTGAGAAGGACCAAGAACAGCTTTTTGAAAATTGCAAAGAAACATATTTGTAAGATGATGAAATAGCCGAAACTTATACTGAACATAGCTATATAGTTGTATGTTTGATACGTGTTACTAATTTTGATGTATATGGTTTGGTTTTTGCAGTATAATTGCTAAAAGTTAAATTAGACCTCTGTGCCCGCCCTACCCTATATATATATATATATATATATATATATATATATATATATATATTTGGAAATATGAACAAACAACACTAATTTTTGCACTAATTTATTAAATAATAATTTTTACAAACGTTTCGAGACTAGGTTTGTCTCATCATAATTTAATTTAAAATTTAAAATATGAAAACCTAAAATGTGTTATTCGTTACAAGTCATTCAATATACTGTCTTCTGCGTTCGAGTACGCAAAAAAGAGTGTTGTTTGTTCATATTTCCAAATTAATATCTATTTATCCACTCAAAATACATACATATATATATATATATATATATATATATATATATATATATTTGTGTGGTTCTTAATATAGACATTTTTGAATTTCCTTGCTCCCAAGGGCTCAAATGGTTCCAAATTGATAAAAAAAATTCTGAAAGTTTTAGCTCTTAATATTATCTTTTTGATAGAGCGCAATTCAATTAAAGTTTTCTTTGGAAAAAGCATGAATAAATATTCAAAAATTTTTTAGAGCGTCGAATTTTCAATAAAAAATGACACAAATTTTCATTTTTAATTTCTTTCTCGCTAAGTTATACATATTATATATATATATATATATATATATATATATATATATATATATATATATCGAATCTATTGATTTAGTAACTTCGCCGCCGGGTCGCGCCGTAACTATCACGTTGTCCGTCGGAGGGAAAGCTGGTGAGGAGAGTTACCCGCTTCTGCAGCAGAATTCTCAAGATTCGCAGGACTCTGCCAGCACCGCCAATACCGCTAACAGCAGTAATCAGCAGCAACGCGTCATCAGGCAAATTAATACGCAAATTAATACAGACATCCATGGGGTGAGTAAAGAAAGAAATACTGGCGCTAGGAAGAAAAATGGTCGACAATGATTAAAATTGAACAAAACACTATCAAGCAGATGTTTATTCTGCATGTATTTATATTATTTATAGAACAACTGACTTGTTTAGTGCTATATTATTTGAAACAACATGTTGCAAGTCTTTTCTACGTGCAGGAACAGTGATATCAACGCAAAAAATTTATATAAAATATAGGTGACAAAAGAAGAATAACAACGTCAGTTTCTTATATCGCATTTAGTGAAGCCTGGATAATAGTACTTTTCTCGAAAATTTGGAGTGAAATTCGACATATGAAAGGTCAAATTGTGAAAATTATTAGTGTTTGGAATGTTTTGTTACTGATTAACTAATTGAATTTAAATAAGCGACTGATTTTGGAACACGGGATTTTATCTTTATATTTGTTTGTGTATGAATAGAATTCAAGATGAAACAAGAATCACTACCAAACACTCTATCGCCATAATAAGTAAATTGCATAAATATGGGATGAACTGAAGCAAAGAATATGAAGGAATCATTGTGACTGTTTCAATAAACTTTTGCTGTTATTGGAAATTATTTGGAGAGCCTGTGCCAATCTGTGAAAGACACATAAAATTAAACTAAAGCGAGCGGTGTTTATTAAGGGTCCAAAAACACACACATTTACAAGTAACGTTCACTATAAATAATACACGATATAAATATTATTACTACAAACGCTGCTGCTTACGTCTGAAGCGTTAATTATTAGAACATTTTATGAATTATTTAGAAAAACTTTTATTGTCCTCTGGGAATGAACTATTTCCAGTTTTTTTGCGTATTCAAAAATGTATCAGATGACTCAACCGACACCCCATATGAACATAAAAGCTCCCTCCAGACAAACATGCACCCCCGCAGATATATACATAACACATTCTTTGTATTATTCGATTAGGTATATAAAATTAATATTTAAAATAAACAATTTTATTGCGATATTTCTGTGCGAACCACTGTTGTATTATAAAGTGATGAACTTATCCCGCATTGCGCATGATGTACTATTTCTAGTATTAGTTTGAAATTGATTAATTAAACAGTTCGAAAAGTTTGTTGATATAAATTAAAGTGAAATGTGCCGAGTAGCAGAAGTCCGTAAAATGCACTGAAATATAAAATTCAAGACATGAAAAACTATAAGACGATTTCGTATGAAACGTATTTTAAATATACATAGTGTAATCCATATATAGTTTAATCGTAATTTTGCTTTCAAATTCCTCACATAATATGGAATTCTTAATAGTAATTATTAATAAATGAAATTTCTCAGTGGCTAAGTGCTATATGTATTAATATATGCCATGATAAAGAAAAGTTTGTAAAATAGCAACTATACGAATTCCCAATCAATTTCTACCACATTCAGGATGCGTAAATCAATTAAATTTAAATGAAATCATGTATTATAAATATACTAAAATGGGTTTAAATATATTTGTTTGCAAGTATGATCTGCTCATCTACTTGCACACAAATTATAACTCGTCAAAGAACTTATTAATATTTAAAATACACGTACTGCCATTGCCTATTATTATTAGAACTGCATCATTGATGAAATAAATATACATTGTTTTTTACAAAAAAATATTTCTTAATATTTATTAGATACATCAATACGGGATTTACTTTTAATTAAATTCGGTAAATTAATTTTGGTTCCTTTTATATTGCTGTTTAGTACATTACTCATAATTTATATGTATTTAAATATAAGAAATAGGATCAAAATAGTTACTTTTATTCAATATGTTTAAGGTCACGTTCACATATTTCTAATGAACATAAGTATATCTTAAAATAGAACATTTAATATAAATATTCGGGGCACTAATTTAAACAATGTATATAAGTCATTTCATCGATGATTTTCTTTACTACTATAATTTGATTACGAAATATTCGAAGTAATCAAATTATATACGACTTTTTGATTGTATACATATAATATAAAAATCATAATTGCAGTATTTATTCAATCAAATTTTAAAATGAATAAATGAAAATATCTAGTTAAAAATTGATAATTAGGAAACCACGCAGTAGACTAGATATTTGCATTCATTTTTATATATTAATATAATAATACAAAAAAGTAAATAAGTAAAAAAAAATCATTTATTAATCCACTATAAATAGTAATTCAAAAAAACATCGAAGTGTACTGCATTCGCAAACAAATATTTTGTTCGTTAATAAATCAAATCAAATTAAATATATTAAAATGCATGAAGCACATTAAGTCCCCTTATTGTAATAAATATATCTTATCCGTTTTATGAACAAAATAATAATATGAACTTTTTAAACGCATTTTTCACTATAAAAATAAATAATTATATAATTTTGTTGCAAAAATTTAAAAAAAAACTATAAAACTTATTGTATATGCAACATTTGCAAATGAAAAAACATTTTTATAAATATAAAGCGGTGATATAGGTAAATGTACATGTATATTTATAAACGTGATCGACGTACGTTCATATTAATTAATTTTTATCCCGATTTTTCAAATTGTATGTATGCCCAGAGACATTCTGCAACTTGATAGATGAAATTTAAGCAAAAAAGTAATTAAGCAGGATTGATTGCATTTCATATATCAATCAAATATGTAAAAATGAAAATTTGGAATCGCAGCCGCTAGAAAAGTCCATTTAAATAGAATTGTATGATGTAAAAAGAAGTGTTTAATAAATTAATGCGTACACTTCAGACGCCTTCGCCGTATCTCTATTGACCTTATATATTTAGAATTATCAAGGAAGTGCGCATAAAAATGAAAACCTTGTTCATCTTAGACTTAAGCGTTCTCGAGTTGACAGAACATTGGAGTAGAACAAATATTATCTCACAGTTTATACAAATTTTTACTATATTCGAAAAATTTATATATTAAGATCATAACAGCTGTTTTTAATGAGTTTTTCTAAAAAGTTCGTTTAAAGTCAATAGATACTAATTTTTTATAAAAATTGTAAATATTTTTAATAATAACTGAGTTATTGTAGTAGTAATACTTTCATATCAGTTAAAAATTAGGTAACTATTTACTAATCCAATTTTAAATTTAATATAAATATACATGGTTTCCCAGATCTTAACAAGTAAAAATGGGGTAATAGTATTCATCTTGACTGTAAGGAACAAAAAAAGGAAAATAAATTATGTACATAATTTTTGCTAATGCATTTTACTCACAATCAGTTCAAATGTTTATTATACGTGCAAGCTTCAATGTGATAGATAAAACCGTTTGAACTGAACGTGAGCAAAATGCCTTAGCCGTTATCGTGTTATTTTTAGGTTTTAATTTTTATACTCGAAGTTTTCAATAATAAAATAATAATAATATTTCACCTTTCATAATCCTGATTAAATGCTCCAACTTCTTATGCAACTTGCCAACACATTTTAGTACATTTTTTTAAAAAAGGGCTTTTCAAAATCTTCCGATTGAAAAAAATTAATTTTATAGTTTAACAAAAAGTCTTAATTCTTAAAAGTTTGGAGCGATTGTGTTATTGTTTTTGACTGTGATACTAAAAATGTTATTCTCGGTTCCAAAGTTTAAATGAACAAAATTAGTAAAAATTAACCTCAATAGCTGATTTATGGTGATAATTTTATCAAAGCTCTAAGTTGCACGTAAAAACTCATAATTTCTAAACAACATGAGATATTTTGTTCTAATTTTTTTCATGACTGTTAAGGTCAATACAATCACTTTGTTTCGGCTCGGCGTTACGGTCTGGAATACCCTGTATATATATATATATATATATATATATATATATATATATACGTTTATTAATGTATGTAAATTTATTGAGATAATATTATGTTCTACTCTAAATTCGAGTCCTCAAAGCAAACTCAAGTATAACTTATCTAAGCCACATGTTCGCCACATCAACCCAACATTAAAAATATACATCATTTCATTAATTGCGCATCATGGTTAAGAAATTATTAAAAATATTAAATTTAATATATATAAATATCCTCCTTAAGAAAATGTAAATACATTTTTTCTGTGATAATATTACACTATAATGATACCATAATTTTTGAAAATCTATTGTTTGGCATATTAAAAGTAAGGTGAAAATAATTAGGTTGGGCAAAAACAACAATCCGCCATAGATTGTTGATGTTTTGAGAAAAAAACATTACCTTCATTGTCAAAATTTGTATGATAAATTTATTACTACCGATTACTAACAAATGCAATTTTCCTTTAATTGGGCGCGAAATAGTGAGGTAACAAAAGCATTAGGCGGGCGCGTGAACTCTGTTGATATGTCATATAAGCCATTTTTTTATTATGTACTAAGTTTTACTTTCTGAAATTTTATGGCGTATAAGACATATTAAATGTGAGTCACTACAAAAAATGGTCCCCTTTACAACTGGATGTACACAATTAGTTAATTATTTTTCATTATAAAATTATTTAGAAGTTGTTACTATTAATAATTCATAATCAGTGGTTGAATAAAATGAAAATGTATTCTTTCCATCTTTCAAAACACTTTTCATCTAGTAATTGAATTATAAATTTTAAATAACTTTTCTATATGAATTTATAACAATTCAACCGTTTTCATCATTTTGATTTTATTGCCAATACTGATTATCGCATAAAATGTTTGTAAAAAGTGTTTGATTTAAAAATATCGGCGTTGTTTAGAAATGTTTTACTTATTTATTAATACATTAGACAGTAAGTTTAGTCATATAAATTTCAGGCGATTCAAATTTCTATGTAACAAATATTTTAAAAGCGTATATATTGTTAAAGAGTTATTGAATTTTGAATGATTTTAAATCGATGTATGAATTTTAGCTATGTTAACAGTTTTAATATTTATTATTAAGTTAAATCTATATATAGTAATTATTGTATCATATTCGCGAAATGTCACCGTTATTGAAATCCAGATTATTTATTAGGGGACAGATGCTATGAGTTTGGAATTGTTAGAGCTTCAAGAGAAAATATTATATAGAATATTTAGTATTATCATTATAAAAAGACGTTTGTACAAGCCATAAGTACTTTCCATATGAATATATTAAGCTTTGATTATAAAAAAATTGATGAATTGTTTTTCGTACGACTTTCATTGCTTTTAAGTTCTTCTGATTTCTTTCAGATACATAATTTTACATAATTTTCAGCAAATTTTTGTTTTGCCAAAAATTTGGCTGTATAAGTAGATTGATCCGTACTCTAAAAGAGACTATTAATTCCGTCAGTATATTTAGGAGCTAAACATATACCTAATAAGTATCAAACGCTAGAAATACTTTAGTATCGATATGAAACAAAGACGATTTCAAAATGTTTCTAATATTAGAATGGTAAAAAGTCAGTTAAGACCAACTCTCCTTGAAGGGTTCAAGTTACCTTTAGCTATTACCACGTTATAAAAATAGCTGAAATGAACTTGTATAAAACCAAAAAGCATTTAATTTGCAATTATTGGAAGAACGGGTAATTAGTTTTTTTGCAAAGTCAGGTCCAGCTATTTCGAAGATACGGAGCTAAATGTAAAAAATGGCAGTTTTGCTTGTGTTGATGAAACAAGTGATTTTGAAAAAATAATAATTAAAAATTTAAAATGTTTTGTATGTTGAAAATAATTCAGATTTTATTATTAATTCTGGCTAAAGTTCTAAAGCTCACTTATAAACTTTATATAAATAATTTTAACTTCGAAATTTTGATTATATAATTCTTATAAATATTAGATAATATTACACTTGTTATAATAATCTCTTTGCAAACATTTATTACTCAAACATCTCGTTACGGTACGGGTATTTCCAGCAATTTGCCTTAAGGCACGATCCCATACACCACTAGTTTATTTATTGTTTGATAATTAGAAATTGCTAGCAAATTTTTGTAAAATGCAATACCACACAGTCCACTTCATTTTATAATCAGCATACTACGTAATATGGTTCTGGTTACTGATTATGTGTGAACTTTGTTTTGTTGTCTCATCTTTATCATTTTCTTTATTGTGATTATAATACCGTTATTTGTTGATGGACAAGAATATTGGCTGGGATCATAAAAAATATACTATATACAATAAAACTATGCGAGAAGTTGCTTAACTATTTAGTATTATATTTCATTATTAATATATTATATTGTATATAATTATTAATATATATTATATTTTTAATAGTGTTATTACTAGAGCCTTTAGATTATAAATTTATAATTCAAAATAGTTCTGGTCCATTCCATTTGGCGGTCCAAAATGATGATTAGACATATGCACATCAAATTATCAGATATTTTATGGAGATTTTAATAATGTGTATCAATTTTGTTTACATTTCTATGGGTTCCGTAACATCGTTTGTCCGTTAGACAGCGACGCAGCGCTTACGCGCTTCGATATTGCGTCTCTATGCAGCTAAAGCAGTGCGATTGCTTTGAAAGTTTAAAATTTTCAAAAGAATTCAAAATGAAAAAACTTTTTTCAAGTTTTTTTTCGAAAAAAGTCAATTTTTTCATCAATTTAAAATTTCTCAAAAATCTATTTCTTAAGTTTAAAAAAAAATTATCTTCTTTAAAAAAAATAATTATAGGTACAGGAAGTTCGAGCAGTTTGCCTTAAGGCACGATGCCATATACCACTAGTTTTCGATTTTTTGCGATTACTATAACTTAAGATAAAAATAAAAATTTTCAGAAAAATTTAAAGCTTTTAAAATTTTAAATTACGTTGCGGAAAGTTCCAGCAATTTGCCTTAAGGGGGTATTCTAGTGTAGAAATTCAAAAAAATCAAATTTTTTATGTCATATTCTCAAAGTTTAACTATCTAAGAATATGGGTACGAAAAAGTTTTTGAAAATTTGAAATATTTTCGGAGATATAGGCATTTTACTGACTCGGTCTCCATACTGGTTTGGCTTCACGCAAAACTTTAAATGCGTTTTTCTCAGAACACGATTTCTCGAGTTTTAATCGATCGACTCACTTGAAATGTTCAGAGAGTCTTGTTTATAGACCTATCTATAGCCCGAACTAGGATTATCCCCAAATTCCAATTTTTACTATTTTTAAAAAATACGAGAAACTCAAAAAAAAAATAGTAAAAAAAACACTTTTTTTTAAACAGTCGCCAATTTGTAAAAAAAAAAATTTTTACTCATCGCTAGTTCGGGCGATTGCGACAACATTGTAGATTAATAATATTTTTATTTTTTGCATTTCCGAATGCTAGGAGGGCTGAAATCATGTCAAGACTGAGGTGCCAATTTTTTGAGACCTCCCACTTGATCAGCTGCCAGTTTTTACAATTTTCAACTTTTTTATTTTTTAATTTTTGTTTTGTACTTTAATAATATTAATAAACAAGTGGTAAAAGTGGTAAAATGGATAGTAAAAACATTCATTGCTTTCTTTTACGACACTTTGAAAATGACCTAAACTTCATCGCTCTACACTAGAATACCCCCTTAAGGTACGGTGCCAAGCACCACTATCAAAATTGTGTGTTATATTCGAGAAGATTTTTCAATCTTTTAGCTAATGGTTTTTATAACGAATCATAATCTTCAACACGGCCTATCCAACTAAGAACTAAACTTGTATAATGCGGCCCTTGATTAAAAATCTCTGACAATTTCTGTTATAAACTATCGTGTGAATTCCGAATTGACAAAAGGCAGCCAGTCGCGCAACTTCCAACCGCATTCGCAATTCAGTCTCCGAAGAGCCGCGACGCCGCGCACATGCGCGCCCGCCCGACCACCGCGAAGTGGGGCACTGACCTGTGGAAGGAACTATCGATCTGTTTCCCTTTGTGTTTT